GAGGGCGATGATGATCAAGGTCCGCGTCCACCAACTGCTGTCCCGGATTGGCTCCTCTCTGTCATTGGATCAGGTTATACCACTGAGGAAATTCTCGAAATCTTCAACCGCCTTCACCAAGAGGTTCTTGATGATCTTCTACCATGTTTCCCAGACATTGAAATTTTGCCGAACATCACCGTCGATCAAGATGAGCCAAAATCCCCAAAGGGGTATGCCAAGCGCAAAGTCTCTTCCGCAGGTCATAAGCGTTCCCAATCTCTTGGTGTAAGTGCGATGAAGGCTCAAAATTACGGTACTCCTTCAGGACAAGATCGTAGAATGAGTCAACCAGTCCAATCTCAAAGCCCAAACAATGGAGGAGTCCCTACATACAGCACTACATTGAAGCGTCGTCGTCATAATTCAAATGATGCTAATGCTCAAAATTTGCAATTCGCACCCGTTCCATCGACTTTCGAACGTCGCCGCTCATTCCAGCCCGCTTTCACTAACACTGGCTTTGATCGCATTGATGAGAATCATCAATCCCCTGTCGTTGACAATGATTTCGAGTTTCCAAGAGGTCGTACACATGCTCGTGCTTCTTCTGTCTATCAATCACCATTAGCTGCACCTGTTGCTCGTCCATTGGGAATTCATCAAAACCAAGTCGAAACTCAAATTCAACACATGGAGACTGGCTTCAGTATGAATGGTGGAAGCATGGGCATGAACATGGGTATGCAAGGCATGCAAGGTCGTGTTCGTCCTTCGCATCAACGTTCCCAATCTGATATGATGGTTGGCAGAAATGCAATGCAACCAAACATGATGGTTCCAAACCTTATGTCTTCCCAAAACTTTAACAGCAATGTTGAGTTCTCTACTCCTCAGTACCAACAATCAGGTTTTGCCCAAATGAATGACCCCCGTCAACAAGCTATCCGTCAAAGCACTTATAATATGCAACAACAGCAACAACAAAGTCGTCGTCAATTTGGTCAACAACAACAATTTGGTCAACAGCAACAATACCGTCAAGAATCTCCAGCCGGTAGCAGCGTTGCTAATAGCCCTATTGCAGGCCCAGTTGGTCAAGGTAGTAACTTCTCTACTCAGCAACGCTCCCAATCAAGTGGCAGACGCGCCCAACAAAATCCTCATATGCGAAACAACCAGATGTATGAGGATAACATCCCCAGACGCCGTTAATACGAACAAGGCGATTAAGTCTCATAATCTATTTCACATTGATTTTTGATTTTGATTCCTTTCGGTTTTGGGACGATTGTTTTCGGATGGGCGCATACAAATTGCTTTATGATACCCATCTACACACTTATGCTTGCTACTTGCTTTATCTTCTCGGTTTTCTTTAATAATGGTTCTTCCTACATCGGACTATCGGATTCATTCAAAAGTTTGCTTCGCCTTGCTTCTGCTTGATTGTGCATTATTTCCTTTGCAATGACAACGACAATGACAACGACAACTAAAATCTGATAATTACGGTCTCTCTTTCACTACTCTCCTCGAAACTCCAATCGGACGATGACCATCAGCCAACTTCTTTAATCACATTGGTATCACATTGGTTGTCACTCAAAGATATCCTACAAATTTGCAAATTCGGAGGGGATGGTTCAGATTACGTCTGATTTTTTGAGGAACATGGACACTGCTTTATTTCATCTGGATGTGCTTCGTTAAGAGTCAAAATAAAACGTCTCAAGTGCTTTGATGATAGATATCTGGTGTTACTATCCTATTTTCCTTTGTTTTCTTTTTCGGCTCTGGAGTGCAGAGTTCAGAAAAAGCTTTTTCTTTCTTTCTGCGTGGTTTTATGGGAGGATTAGATTGAGCGCATACATGAAATGAATGGATGGATGATGGGGATGGGCGTCAAAAATGTATGGTGGAGTATGGATTGCTTGATGATCAAGAAATGGGGCATATCAGTTTAGTTCTCTTTCTTTGACTCTTAATGTGCTTTGCATGCATGGTATTACAGCGGGTGGGATTTGGTTTATGATTCTTTTGAGTGGTGGGAATAGCGGCATAACAGTACTTGTGATGAACAGCGGAGTGATAGCATAGCATAGGACATACGAATAAAACCACCATCAGGTATATGATGTGTAATTAACAGATAGGTAGATAGTGGAATTAAGAATTCTTGATTCAATTTTTTGGGCTGTTTGATTTAGTGAGTGATTTACATAAGACTTTGTGATAATACGTTATGAGGAGCGGACTTGCAAGATGGTGGATGAAGTCATGGCATACGGGATGTGAACTTTGTAGACAAACCAGAGTAAACAGAAATGATTTCGATAGAGGGCAATTGTGATGGAATAGAGTTTCTGGGCTCACATCATCGGCTTCATTAGCAGTAGCTCAACTAAAGCGGAAGAAAATTCACGGCACATGAAACGGGACGATCGAAGTGGACATTTTCCGCCACAACATTCGGGTTGGAAACTCAAAATCAAAATCAAAAATCAATGGGAGGCAAAAAGATGTTTTCTAGACTAGATACCGTAACTCGAATAGGTTTATGCAGGTCTAAAACCGTGGAAACCTTTCTGCTCGGTGCTAAGTCTGTGTGCGGGGAAATATTTCCGGGGAGAAGGAAAGGGTGGTGAACTAGGAGGATCTGATATCGAGACACCAAGGGATTACTATTTGTACCGGTGTACCTCGACGATATCAAAAACTTCTTTAGATCTAGGAAGTGATAAATAAGTTCCCGGCATCGGAGATCTAGAACGGTCTTTGTGGGAATGCGAGAGAACTCATCTGTAATGCGGGTACAGGCTATTCTCTGCGAATGTCCATCGATTTTTGAATAATTGCTCTTCACAGCATTAGTATAATGCGTCAATGTAGATCTAAACAAAGCACATCAAGAGATTAAAACTAGAAGACGAGGATTAGATCAATAGTTCAAAAGATAGATAGCTACCTAGCTTGATAATTCATTCGATCGGCTGATGTTGTGGGGGCGAAAAGGAACGAGAATGTAGGAGGGCATGTACATCTACATACATGCATCTGATAACGCTTTGTCACTGGCGTCTGGTTCCAATTTAAAGAAGTTTACCGGGTGCGAATCGAGGATGGGAGATGAGGAATTGAGGACTGTAGTGTAGCTGTGTGCACACGTACGCAATGTGATATCCAATCCTATTCTAGACTCTCCTTTGTGTGCTCAAGATATGTAAGTCAATACTTCGCCTCTTCACATCTTCACATCTTCGCCTCGAAGATCTCTGCGAATCTGCTTCGTATAGCTTGCGTGGCAGTACAGAATGTAACTTACAGTAAGTATACTTCACATGGCGCAAAGCCTTGAGCGACTTTCCTACTACATAACACCCCGCTAGTTATCAGGATCAAACCCGACACTCCGAAGATCGGCGTGTAAAGTTTGCTCGCTGATCTGTTATTTGATATTGATGATTTGTATATAGTGGCAGCCTTGTGATGGTTCGAGATGAGCTGAGAGGGGCTTGAGTATGCATATTGCGTACATCTCTATGCAGATGCGGGGGCTCGGTAGTAATTGCGAATCGAAGCAAACATTGCTTTTCCGGAGCACTTGGTTGTTGTCTCGATGTTATATAATGGATATATGGATAAATGGTTCAACGTTGTGAAGGAAGGAAGGTGTTTTGGCTAGGTACAAGACAAGCTTGGCCTAGTAAGGAAGCCGTTGAACCCGTTATTATTCTCCGACAATCGTTCTCAGATGTTTGAGATTCTACTGCTAGTGAGGAGAACAGTACTACACAAACATCGTTCTACCCTGATTTCATCCATTTATCCTTGATGTCTATCACTTCCCCTCACTCCCCCCTCACTCTTTGGTCCCTTCCATTTTCACCAGCCCCACCTGCAACCTTGGAACCCAAAGCAAGCACGCCACAGTGGCTCGGCTCGGCACGTCACACGTGAAAATCACGTGCATGTCTTAGTATGTTCAGCGGCTAAAAGATCCGTTATAGCGGGGCTAACCAATCGAAAGAATCTCGTCTAAGATCTGAAAAACCATGTTCATGTTTCAAAATACGTCGAACAATCCTGGTTGTTAATATATCTGACGGATATTATTTCTCCACATTAGATTAACTTTTTTCTGTAGAAATCCTGGGTATGATGATTTGGATGAATGGAAAAGAAAGGAATGGATTCATTTGGATGATGTGAATTATCAATGGAAATATATGAGGGGGGGTATATGTTGAGATATAAGAATTGGTGAAAGGGATACGGACAGGCGGTCCGCCGGCGTATGTTCTATGTGTTAAGGAGGAGAAGAATGGGAATTGAAATTGGTGATTAATGGTTGGATGGGAGAATCGACTATACATCTCCATCGAATGATGTCTGGAAATTGGTGAAGGGTTAGACATGAGAAGGGGGATTCAATAAAGCCGCCTCAAAAGCGAAGCGATGACAGGTACCTATCGCTAACCCTTCATCTACCCCTTCATTCAAATATATACAACACACACTTACTCCTTTCAAAAGAAACAAACATATCCGACATCTAACATCCAACAGCCGAATTCCGAGTTAGGATTCTAGATTCCCCGTTTCGTTTTTTCAAGCTTCTATCCAATGCCAAGCACGGATAAACGCATCATAAACATAAGCAACAAACCCACTTCATGACCCGAATCAGATGAACTCAAACCAATTACTTTATATGAGACAATGATCATATCCGGTCCGTCCTGCCATAAACATCACCAAAACTTCATCTAATTTCTTCATGAATCTTCCATTCTATACCCCAATTATACAGCATGCATTGTTCATCTGACTTCATTCGGTGTTTACGCCTATTTGGAATTTCCTAGTCAGGAATTGCCTAGGTAGGTTTGGGCGGTTAACGATTCCATATTTGATGATGGCACTTTAATTTGGGAAATTGGAGGGACAAACAAAAGTTTCCGAACAACGGTGCTTAATTTGTTTTGTAGTAACTACCTAGGTAGGCTTCACTCAAATCGCCTCATGAGAAAAATGTATGATTCTCTATAATAACTTTGGATTCCTCTCTCTACAATTTTGATCTTTCCTTTGAACTTTGTCCTGTGTGCTATTCAGTTCGTTTCACTCTTTTAAACTTTGCTTTCTATTTACTACATTCTCTTTCTCACACAATTTTTATATATCCAGCGGATATTTTAACAAGGTACTTGAAGTATCTCTATAACAAAATCAAACACAATGCATTTTTCAAAGAAGGCTCTGGCAGCCCTTATTGGGTCTGCGACTAGCGCAAACGGTGCGATCTTGTGGGATGGTCGATTCGATTCTTCTTCAATGGCCGATTTGAAGGCTTGGTCATGGAGTAATGCTGTTGGCGATTACCAAAATTATATCGTGAGTAATTTTGTAGGACTTGAGTGGTATGAATGATATCTAACAAACAAATAGCATGGTACAGGTAACATTACCAACTATGTTGCTCTCGACAGCACTTACAAGAACCCTGCCGATTCTGGATCAGCCCTCGGTGCCAAGATCACTCTTGATAGTACTTCATACTGGGAAGGTCAAAACATGCGTCGTACCGAATTGATTCCTCAAACCTCCGCGGCTATTGGAAGTGGAAAGGTTTACTACCATTTCAGTATGAAGCGTGAAGATACCAATGCACCAAGTATCTACAGAGAACATCAAATCTGTTTCTTCGAGAGTCATTTCACTGAGATGAAGAGTGGTTGGATTAGTGGAGAGACTGGATCCAGTGATCCTCTTTTGAGATGGGAAGTCAGTGCGACTAGTCAATGGAGTACTAACTGGACTGCTGGTGTTTGGCACAACATTGCTTACGGAATTGTATGTTTGAATTCTTTCAATCTTTCTCATCATATACTAATATACTATTCAAGGATTTCTCCGCAGGCTCAGTTGAATTCTACCACTCCACCGGATCCGACCCTCTCACTCTTACCGTCCCAGCTGTTTCCGTTTCCGCCTCTTCCAATGGTGCAGACTGGCATTTGGGAGTTCTCGAACTCCCTGTCACTGGTCAAACCGATGGAACCGAAGATTTCTATTTCTCTGGTGTATACATCGAGAGTGGATCGCTTACCACTAGTGTTGCTGGACCAGGTGGAGCCGCGAGTTCCAGTTCTCCTTCTGCAAGCACGTCAGTAGATTCTTCTTCTGTTCTTTCTAGCTCAGTAGTTTCTTCTTCTATTCCTTCTTCTAGCGCCGCTCAGGTATCCTCATCATCGGTCATTCAATCTTCACCAACATCTATTGCCGTCGCAATTCAACAATCCTCAGTTATCTCTTCCCCATCAAGCTCGACCAAAAAATCCTGCACAAAGAAGGCCTCCGCTACTGGATCTCAAGCTAGTGGATCCATTGTTGAATTCACCTCAACTCAAACTGTCACCTCTGTCGATATCGTCCCTACTAGCGTCTACATTACCGCCGGAGGATCAACCTTCCTAACTACTTCTTCTGTTTCCTCTACCTATACCTCTGAATCCGCCATTATCACCTCTTCTGTTCTTTCCAATGCAGCTCCATCTACTTTTGTCACTTCCAAGAAGTCTTGCACAAAGAAAGCCTCAACAAGTTTGGCAGGAAATGTAAACATAGCTGCTAGTTCTTCAGCGGTTCTAACTTCTGCTGGTGTTAGCTCGAAGCCACATACCACCATGACCATGACAATCACCCAAACTACTTCTACTACTGTCGCTTCGAGCGCGGGTGCTACTAGCACTGGAGGAAGTACTTCGGGAGAGATCGCTTTGTTTATGCAATGTGGAGGAAAGAACTGGACCGGAACTGGTACTTGCGTTAGCGGAAGTACTTGCAAGGCTCAAAATGATTATTATAGTCAATGTGTTTCTGCTTAGAGTAGATAAATGAAAGAGGTTTAAGGGGATGGGGGGGAGAGTGAAGGAAAGTTTTATTCTATTGTATATAGTTCGAAATGTCTGTACATGTCTGTGTGTTTCGAAATGAATAGTCTGGGTTATTTATATCTATCAAGTACATACTACTTTACATTCTTGCCCGTTCCAATTTGGTGGTGATTATTTTCGAATAGTCAATCTAGTGGACGAGTGTCTTTAAAGAACCTTTGAACCCTAAGTTTGTTGAATAGTATCTATACTGAAATGAAAATTGTCCCGCGGGTTCACACACACACTGGTGATTAAACTTTCGAAATTTTATTCATTTCATTCTTCAATTGTTTGATATCGGAATCTATCTTTTGATTGTTCAATCTTTGTTAAAGCATTTTAAGAATTCTCAAGAGCTAGTGCGTCCACCTCCCTGATGGATATCTTGTTGCAAAAGATTGTGTATACCTAATATCGATTTTTTCGCAATAATATACCTATCTATCGCGATTATTGAATGTTAGAAATTTCCTCAAGTGTTATATCCTCCTACTTTATCCCAACACACATATTTTGGAACGCTAATCGTTATTAAGATGATTGGTCTTGAAAGTACATAAAGTCTGTACAGGAATGTCAAATTGTAGAGTTGGATCAAAATTTAATCAAAGTAATGTATCAAGAGTATGGGAATCTCTTGAATCTCTTGAATCTTTCAAAAGATCTAAAAGTACTCTGCTATTTTTCCCCGGGAAAGCAAAAATTCAGTGAAGCATAAGGGCGTCTGATCTCACATCTTTCCGTTGTTTTGATAGGCAATACCGGGAATTTTGGTTGTCCTTCTTAGGGCCAGTATTCCATCGTTCTGAAGCTCCTAGGCGTAACGGGGCATCGGGATGATCCTCTGCCAAGGTGAATGGATTGAAATCGCCTTTGTCTACCAAACCCCATTTAGTCAAGTTTTCACGGCTCCACATACTCTCGTGTATTGCAATGAACTTTATGTAACCTCCAAAATCCTCATTACGCATTGCTGGACAAGGGAATTACTGCGCTGAGCCTCTCACAATCACATGTTGCTTTTCAACCACGAACACTTACGGCTCTCAGCGCCGCGGCACACTGGAAGCCTTGTTGAACAAACCAGAGTATTAACCGCACAATGATGAGGATGATTGCAAGTACTTTGGCTTCAATCCAGATCCAGATCAACCTTGTTTCTCGACCAAGAAGCCATCAATTTCAGAGCGGCAGGTAACTGGTATGAGACGGGTACTTAGAATATTGGAGAACCCAAAGGTCAAAATGTGTCTCCTCGGAGATGCTACTGGCCTTGTTAAGACAGTCACAATTTGTGAAGTATGATGGATGATAATCCGTACCAAATACTTGAAGAACCACTTAAGCCAGCATCTCCGAGGCCTGAAATGCTTATCGTCTTACCTGAACTGATCGAGCAGCGGCGAAAGGGATCAAAAGCCTCAGTTCTGACTTCCAGGTATACATCTATTGTGGTGACGAACGCAAGTCGAGATCTGAGACTCACAAAAATATTGCCGGGAAGCTCACACGTCGTCATCCGATATCCATTGTTCAATAGCGAACAGAAAAATTTCGAGAGTTGGGGTGATTACTACCTTGGTCACATTAAGAAATCGCCATGGACCTTCAGCATTGAAAACTTTCAGGTTTGCTAAGAAGAGCTTCAATGAAAAAGAAGCAAAGGATTGCCAAGCAATCAACGATCCGCAGTGGAGTTTAACTTGGCAGGTCTCATCGAGTATGTCATCGTCGACGAAGCCATATACTGAAAATTTCGGACACAATGGCCCATGCTTCGGTAACCTGGCTTGAACCAAGCTTCCAGATACTTGCAACTATCACAGTGTTGTCTAATCGTGTAGAATTAGCCATCTTCTCTTCGGGGTCTGAATCTGCATTGCGCTTGCCTTGAGTGACAAGCTTCTCCAACTTTATCTTGTCGTTGAAATATTTCAACGTTACTTGTATGGTCAAATACCTCCCGAAAGGTGTCGTTAAATCTAACGGATTCTTTGGATTTCGGGTGGTCTTACACCATGCTAACTTAAGACCGGTCGAAGGAGTAGATTGAAGGGGTAGATTGAAGGGTGGAGGTGATTGATTGAAGACTGGAGAAATGTTCGCAATGTCTGCCGTCAGATTAGAAATTGGAGATAGTGAGGCGATCTAGAGTGTCTAATAGTTCGGACTGCAATCCAACAATGAAGATTATCAAATTCCCAAACCAATTAAAATATCCAAATCATCTCAAATATTGAATTTGACTAGGACATTGAAATATTTTTGAATTTCCAACTGCTTTTAGACATTCAAACTCTTACATTGTTGGATTGCAGTCCGGACTATTGGATGCCCTGGCACTGGTTCTGGAGTCTCTGGAGGGGAACGTGGAGATCCACCGAACGATTTCTTCTAGGCTTTATGTGCAGAAGAAGCGCGTTTAGTGAGGACACTTCGTGTGTTATCTCCAAAGATGTAAATTGAAGGTGGATCATATGAGCAGAGAACCTTCGCCGGCCATAGATGGGTCGCCTGCTCTGCGTTTTTTAAGCAGCGACAACATTCCGATTTGCCTTTGCCGTTGCTGGTACCATGCACATCAAAAGTCTGACCTCGTTCTCTGAGATACCCATCTGCTTGTCTCGAAACCAACCGTTTCTCGCACGAGTGTTATCCAAACAAAGTCTGAGTAGACAAAAGACATCATGATCTACCTCACCACATCCCGATTTATCGAAATGCAGATTCGAATATTTCTGATCTCCATGATTTTCGCCATCGGCAACGGCTCACTAAACACTCTTAAGGGATTGGTCCTTTTCATTTTGGGGCGGCTAATGTTCTTGGGTAAATGATGGTGTCATAATGTGAGAGTGTGGACGGAAAACTAGGGTTCAAGTAACAGTAGATAGAATCATATGAAAATCTGAAAGGGAATCCGGTGGATTGATATGGAATACGCTAGAGTGGTGCCTGACACCACGTGACTCTCCCGCATCGCTCCTTCACACATACAGCTCCTTGAAAATTGGCAAGAATTGAGGTCATTCGAGGAACTTTGATACTGCATCTTTGTCTGGAAGATTGAGGGATGGGATTATACGAGATAGATTTTGAGAAGTGTTATTTTCTATAGTTGTACCTGCTAGGTTTGTAGGATTATCCAAACCTTGAATGATATGTCACATATTCAAGACACTAAAACATCAAAACACTATAGGATCTAATACTTTCATTGGTTATGGTAAATTACAAAGAGAGAAGAAAAGAAAACTGAGCTATGAATGGAAACTGTTCATGCCATCCTTTGCGCAACCATATTCACGTGACCTATGTGCACCCCCAACAGCGTGAACATGGCGATGCCCAAGCAGATTTGAGTAGCTTGCATCCATAACCTTGGTAATGTTGACACAAGCCTTTGCTTTATGAGCGATGTCGAAAGCCTTGCAAATTACTGGAGCGTTTCTACCACCAGAGTTTAATTGCTGTGTATTTGCAGTGACGATCCCAAAAGAACGTGCTCGAGTGAGTGCAACACAGTTTCTGCCGGGGTTGTTGGTGAATCCTGTATTTTGGGTACGGACAGAATCACAGAATGTAATATCTGCAGAGCCACCTTTGATGCTATCCGTAGTATGAACAGCGACTTCAGAGAAAGCAAACTGAGGATAATCACTGGCTAGCTTCGAGATTGTGCGTCTATAAACACGGAGCTGTGCAGTGTAATAAGTCAGAATAGCCAGTGAACTTGGAGGAACGTTCCACTTAGTGACGAGGCACTCGATCAAGTGTACATTGACAGCAGCACTGGTCAGGTTCATCCAAGACTAGGTTGAGTGGTCCATAATCTCGCCTTCGTGTACTGCATCAATATACAAATACGGCTTTGAGATGGAGTTTTCTGGGAATATAACTCTGAGGGTATTGGCAACCACCTCACGGAGTGGGAACTGGTTCGGCAAAACAGGTGCATCTTGAATTCGCTTGCGGTAAAATAATTCGGACGCGACCTCCATGATTCCAGGGTAACCTCTACGCTGAACGTATAGTTGCGCCTTAGGCCAATGATTATCCATAAAGTATGACATAATATCTTGAGACTTTTCATGAGATAATCCTTGAAACCCTTGGAGAAACGGAGTTTGGGGAGTAAGCTGCTTGGTGTCACCGAACAAGACAAGTCGGTCCGTATCAAAGGAAGAGAGAAGCACAATTAGATCGACGAGTGTAGCAAGACCAGCGTCGCCAATCAAGATTGCGTAAAGTTGTCGGAATTGGCCCATGAACTTTTTCGTACCAGTCTGGGAAGTTAAAACAACATTTACAGCTTGATCAGTCGAAGCCTTTGGAGCCCTATCAACCAAACTGATTAGGAAATTGGTCTCAGTTGCTGAAGGATAAACGCGAATGACGACCTGTTGACGGAGGAAAGGTGCGAGATCTGGCTGTTTGCTGCAGGTATCTTCGATTGCACGTTCAATAGCCTTGGCCAGAACGTCGGTCGGTTGGTTTGCAGCGCAGATACAACCGATAGGAGCTTGAGGTTGTTGAGCCAGCATGCATACAACGACATGAGCCAAGAAAGTAGTCTTTCCAACTCCTGGGAAACCTTCAACGATAGCAACGGCCTTGCCTTGAGAATTTACAGGTGTGCTCCGAAGGTATTCGATGGTGTCAAGTTGATCTTTAGCATCGAATCTCTCCATGATGAGACCAGCATCTTCGCCCAGGATATCGACATGAGTTCTGACCCTATTGTCATGCATTAAAAGCACCTTTGACCATGCATCCATGCTTGCTGATTTGAAATTGATCGGGGAGTGGGAGTCCTTCTTGTCAAGATTGGGGTAGGTGGAGTGGAGGAAGCAATTGAGAGCCTTGAAGACTCTGGCTTCTGCCATTTCGGACTCGTGATAATTGAGGATGACAGGGATTGAACAAGCCTTCTCAAGAAGGGCTCTGCATGTTTTAGGCGAATCCATGTTACCGACGACGGCTGGTAGAATTGAGCCGGTGAGAGGTCTGGGGGCGTTCTTTTCCTCTTCAGTGGCATCCCAACGAAGTGGGACCAAAGGACGCTTCAAAATACCAACAGATGCTTCTGGGTAATACCAGTCAAAAGGCTTGCAAATGACGAGATTCCAATCCTCATTCCTAACTCCGTCTATAAAGAAGTTAACCTTTAACACGTCACCCGGGTGGAGTCTTAAGTTCTGTGGTGCCATGAAGAAAGCATAATAGGCCGAGTCATCGCCAATATTCATCAATCTGATGGAAACGTCGTTTGCACGACGATCTTCAAGTTGTTGCTTGGTAGCGACAGCAAGACGGGTGATCATCTCCCCCTTTGTACAGTATTGTAATTGCTTCTGGGTAACGATTTTGGGTCTTAATCTCGCATCCTTAATGAAAGCATCCAATCCAACTTTGCTGTTGAATCTAAAGTTTTGAGACAGATAGCGACGAAAGGGATTGCCATCGCGTAGCTCCTTTCGCATACCTCGAAGGCACTTGATCAAGGAATATTCCAAATTGCTATTCGAGCTATCCATGATATATATTGGAAGTGAGAACGTGTGTTGTGACATGATAAACTGAAGGAATTTGATAACACGACGAGGAGCCCACGGAAGAGCTGGCCAGGTAGTAGAATGCATCAAGTTCTCACTAATGGCAGACGCAATTTCCTTGACATTGAGTTCCCAACGATAGACGCCAAATTTGGCCTTTGGCTCGCCGTTCTTTCCAACACGGTCATAACCAGGTGTCTTGAGTACAATCTTGGGAATTTTCTCAATATCGTTACCATTGAAAACCTCTTTATCATCATCGTTGATACTGAAGAGCTTGATAACTTTTCTGGTGAAGATGTTGTCTGGATCTTCATCTTCTTCAGGCGAGGAAAGAGAATAATCGAGACCAATGATATTTTTTGCGTAGAACTTGAGTTTGACGATGAAACCATCAGCAGTATGCGATCTAGGATCAATCGTGTCGGGAATCTGATCAAAAGGAATGGCGACCCGCAAAAAGACGAAGTTTCTCTCGGTCTCGTGTGTAGAGAATCCGATTGAGGCGTTGATTCGGTCAAGTGGTTGGTAGCTGCGCTTCGTACTGGCCTCAAGTTGTGCAGGTGAGGGATTGTAAGGGATTGGCGCGTTTGTGACATTTCCTTGCTGGTCGTACTCTGGGGGAGGAGGATTGACGTTAAACAAAGCGCCAAAAGGCTTGTCGGCATGCTCAACATCTGCAAGCTCGTCTTGAATTGCCTTGGACAAGCCAAAATCAGGTAGACCGAATTGTCCATCTTCAGAAACGCGAAGATAAAGCGTATCGACAACGCAATTGAAAGTTGCCGTCGCTGCCATTTCGTAATCGTAATACATCTTTGAGGAAAGGATTACTGAATGTAATGGATAGTAGAGAAAGGAATCCAAATCAATGTAATTGAGTTGAAGGTAATTGTGATTGAAGGAATTTTGGATGTGGGTTGTAATTGAAAGAAATCAAAACAAGACCGCGTCCTTCGGAATTGTTTGTGGGAAAAAAATCAGCTTCATTCACCTAGCGACGACGAGCTAGCAACAGCTACCTGAAGTAAGGCCGAGAATCAGGCAGAACGTCGTACGATTTTTTTCTCAACAAAACAGGAAAGAGCAGTTATGAGACGAACTTCACTTTCAAAGGTGAGTTTTAAAAGATGAGAAAATTTGTAAAATCGACTGGCTCAACCCAGGAACGTTTTTCATAGGTCGTGCCGAACACTTCCAGTAGCAAATTGGTTGCCAGTGATGATTGTCGAGTGTGTCTTTTAATTTCATACAGCCAGGACAGTGTATTTTAACGTCGTACATACAGGACGAAAAGGCTTGACTTCGTTATCCAATGCTTGAGAAATAATTTGATGGAAAATGAAGACGATTCGATGAAATTTCCACGTGATTGATGATTGAGGTGAAGTGAAATTGAATGTGTATCATGATTGATGTGATGAAGCTGGTGGTGAATGACGACCTCAATGTATATAAGTGTAGGTTCCAGCAGTCTGCTCTATAAACTTTGAAGCAGTACTCAAACATGATCTGGCTGTCAGAATGCTCATGACCTGGATACTATGGGAGATTTTGGCTGAGATACCAAGACAATGCCTTCAGGGTTGGGAGATCGAAGTAAGCAGCCTGTTATTGGTATGGATTGAGGTATGCTCGTGTGTCTTCTGCTTAGCACAAACATTTGTTCGCCTTGGTTGGAGTGTGGTTGAAGGACAGCACACCTTTATTCTCCAACTTGACGTAAAGATGTAATCAAGGGCAGGAAGCTTGCCTGTTTCTGCCTAACAAGAGCCGGTGCAAGAAACCTTCGTTTTCAAACTTGGTGTAAAGATTTAGCTGATATGCGGCAGACTTCTTCAAAACGGTTCGATGATCGAATTTCGGAGAGCTAACCGTTGGTCTTGAATCGGCTTAAGAATCGAGGCATGTAGAGCGGATCTCCATCTTTCAATTTGGTATATAGACAAATGGAATTCAACGGAATTGTTTGATTCGATTTGAAGGCCAAAGAAACGGAGACAAGCTGCCAGTTTGAAATTAGCTTGAGGATAGAAGTACGGATAATAGAGCTTGGATTTCCAACTTGATGTATAGGCAATCGAAATGCGACGTACCTATTTAGTTTGATTTGAAGGTTAAAGAACAGAAGGCAAACTGCCAGCCCAGTAAACCTCCATTTTCCAAATTGGCACATGGATACAACTGAGATTCGGCAGGCTTTTTTACTCGGGTTGAAGATCAGAGCTTGCAGGGCAAACCAATTATCAAAATTGCTGGATTCGGATGTGTCCTACCTGCGAATACACGTGAGTTGGATGTCCAAAGCCACAAAAGGTGAAAATTGGAATAAGGAATCATACTCGTGAAACTCGGTGGTGGAAGGAATATTTTGTTGTTATTATAAGGAAGCCCATTGGAAAGCAAAAATTCCAATCAAGAATCAAAAGCTAGAAAGAAAAGATAAACTAGGATACTGAAGATGGTTTTAGGACGTTGTGATGTAGTTGAAGATTGGAGAGGAAATAATTCACTTTGCTCGCTATCTTACCGAATTTGTGCCGAGCGTAGTAAGATGGCCTGGCCCGCTTATGTCGGAGGGAGCATGAGACTTGGGTATTACTGTAGGTCTTTTGAGAAGTATTTGTGATCTTTTTTTGGAGGGAGGCTGGGGCGCGAAGAGGGGAACTGTAGAGTAGACGCCTCTCTTTGATTCATAATAATCATAATCATTCTTTGATGAACTTGAGCTTGGTCATTGGTGACAGACGGTTTGGTATACCTACTACAAATGAGCCTACGCTGTGTTTCAGGGAGATGCACAATTTACCAATTTGCCCCGTTTCAATATGATTCGACAGCCATATGTATGGGAAGTAAGACTTACACTTACACATACAGAGCATTTCAATCAGAACTACTTTTTCCATATTTTAATTCCGTTTTGTTCATCTGTTCGACAATGATGAGGATGAAATGAGTTCCTTCAGAAAGATCATCGGCTGGGATATGCCCTATCACGTTCACCGAACAGAACTTTGATTCGAAGATAACAATTCAGTTGTTGGAAAGTTTTGCTAGGGATCAATCCTAGTCTGAGTTCTTCTCTTTCCTACGTAGAGGCAGGGCAAACGGTTGTGGAATGAAGGTATATCTTGTTTGAAATGTCCAAGAAAGTACTTTTATCGCATTTCACATATTACACAGTTGTTAGAGAATCTTGCAAATCGAGTACAAGGGAAAAGATATCTGAGGACTTGGTTGGAGACATGTTATGTGTAGTAGGCGTGAAATGACGGTTTCTTAGATTTCAAGAACGAGCTCTAATCATTCTCCCCCTAATTCTCCTCTCTGCATATGAATAAATCTCTGTATCTATCCTTTTCGAATAATATATCTGAATCTTCAAACCTCGATTCAAATCCAAGCTTTCATCTACGTTCAACCCTTTATCTAATCGATATCTTCAAACTTTCATACCAATCTCCTAACCTCCATTCAAATTCAAACCCCCATCAACATCAACATCCAAGTTCCTCCATCCACCTATCCACTCATCTCCAAAAAAGAAAGACATAGATAATTCCCCACCTTGTATAAATATGAAAAGAAAGAAAGGGATAAGACAAGACCCAAAGATCTCATCACACTTGAGAAAGAGAGAAAGGCTAGTTTAGCAGAAGGAGAAGGAGAAGAAAGAAATGTAGCAGTTGAAGGAATAGAAAGAGCCCTCGGGAGAGAATTTAGATGATATTTCATTGCGTGAAGGAAGAAGGAAGAGGGAAGATTCTATGTTAATATAAATTTCTAAACCATGTTCTTTTCCTTGAATGTTGAGGTATTCTGATAGTCATCAGAGGCCTTAGAGTTAGATGAACTCAAATCATCTAAAGTTTCGAATCCTTTAATGTGAAGAGAGAGACAAGACAAGACCCATAGCATCATCTTGTCACAAAATCACTAGGTACAAACAAAAGTCTCAAGTTTTTATAAAACCACAGATCTTATATTTCTAGTTTTTCTAATCTCCAAAAGTGGATCTTCAACCAACCAACAAACTATATACCACGCCAATTGCTAATATATACAAAATTTGAACTTAAAACTCATCTTCCAGACTATTGTCCAAAAATTGGACACTATCTACAACCATCTATACTCGAAGTATTGACTTCTTAAGAAGAAGCAACACATTGAGAGTAGTAGTCATTTTGAACGACACATGTACCCTCAGAGCAGGTCTTTCCACCAGTGCAGTTACCGTACAAGGGAACGGAACCAGTTGATGAAGAAGCGGAGCTAGTAGCAGCAACACTACTAGTAACTGGAGCAGCGGCGACAGAAGTCTTAAGAGTGCTAGTAGCGCTAACCTTGCTACACTTGGACTTGGTGGAAATAGCGGCACTAGAAACGATTGGGGCGGCACTAGAAGCAATTGGAGCAGCGCTGGAAATAGCTTTGACAGAGCTAGCGACGGATGGAATGGAGCTGGAAACGGCTTTGGCGGAACTCGAAATGACGGCGGCAACCGGTGCAATAGAGCTTGAGGCAATAGTGCTTGGCCTTGAGCTTGGGGCAATAGCACTTGAAACTGGGCTAACAGAAGAACTATCGGCTGGGGCCTTGAAAGTAGATCCAATTGGTCCGTACTTGATGCTAGAGAAAGTGACATAGGCACTTCCAGAACTAGCCTCAACGGTAGCAGGAACTCCAGATGAAGTGGCGCAAGATCCACGAGAAACACCTGGAGTAGAAGCATCCTTGTCGGTTGGGTAATCAGAGTCGAGCCAGAGCATGTTTACATTGTAATCATCCCAGATGGAGAGAACAAGAACCATACCATCAGCCATCTTCTTACCCATAGCAGCCATACCACCATTCTTGGTGAAGTAATCGGTGTCACCGAAAGCAGTCTTTTGAGCAGCGCAGAAGTCATCGGTAATAGAGTTACCAGAAACACCAGAGATGTCAGAGCTTGGTTGTTCATGGACGACATCACCTTGAACGTAGAAACGCTTGATCTCAGTAAGAGTACCAGTCTCAGTTCCATCATCAGTGATAAATTGAGTGACAACGGAGAAAGGCTTGGTGGTATCAATGGTCATTCCACTTCCATAGAAGGTGGTGTTACCCATTCTGTATGGGTTGAAATCACATCCATCTCCATCACATACACCAGTATTTGAGACACAGTCAGCTCCAGTGCAAGCGGTTTGAGAATCGACAGTGCAGACGTGAGGGGTAAGAGCTTGGGCCATGGAGTTGGCTTCCCAGACATCGAACTCTGAGCAGCATGATCCGATATTACCAGTTCCAGAGTTAGCACTATTGCTATCTGGGACCCATCCCTCAACGTTGGCAGTACCGTTGACGAATTTCATGTCTCGAGGACATTGAGCATCGCAATAACCGGTACCGTACTTGGCACCTGCTTTGTTGGTGGAGTATTTGGACATTCCTCCGTCAGCGTCCATTGGAACGAAGTAAAGAGCACCGTTAAGACCGCAAGGAAGCTTGGAAACATCGACGGTGAAGGTGAACTCGTTACCCAAAAGAGCAAACTCTTTGTAGGTAGTCTCAGAGTCCATGAGGTAGGTTCGAGAACCAACGTTGCTTCCAGTGACGAAGCTAAGCTTCAAGGAGTCACCACTTGTAGTGATACCATAAGTTCCCTCGTAATCTGCACCATCAAGAGCACAGTTGGCGGTACAGGTAGCGGTATCTGGGCAAAGAGTGGCATCCCAGGTGTTACCAGTATAACAGTTGGTAGATCCGGAAGTGGAGTGGAGCCATCTCCAGTTGGCATCGAGAACGATGCTATCGGCTTCATCGGTACATGTTCCACCAGCGGCACATTTTTGAATGGTCAAGGCGGGGTGAGTTTCGGGGGTTGAAGTTCCAACTTGTTGAGCGCCGGCGCCGAGAAGGAAGGAGAAAGTTGCGAGCACTGCTGCGGAATACATCTTGGAGAAATGTAAAGTGAAAAGAAGGAATGTGAGTTGCGAAAGAGCGACAAGAATAAAAGAATGTAGAAAAGTACAAAGACTGTGATGATGAAAAAATTAATACATCGAGGTACTTCACCACCTTATATACACTTCTTCATTCTTGAAAAGTAAGTATAGGAGTCGAATAGAAGTGGATCTATTCTACCTTATTCAAAATAAACTTCTGAGAAATTGATCAGGGAATTAGATTGAGCGACATAGTTTCTAGCTCATTTTGGCCACTTAGCCAACCGCCGAACGTTCAATCAAGGTAGAAACACTATAAAAGAAATCTACCAAAAGGGATGAAAGGAATGACCACTTTTGATCTGGACAAGCATAAAATCATAAGCGAACTAATCGTAATGATTGACGAAGTGGATAGAGTGTCAACGGAGATGACAAGGCTTGATATTCATGTTTCCAAAGGAGTCGGTTAACTTTATTTGAGTCCACCAGTATTGAATTATGGAGTAACATTGTTAATTTGACTCCACCGAACAAGATCCTTAATCAATTTTGGAAATGAACTCTAGTTAACCCCGCAGATTTGTTCAAAGATCGGATAGAATGATGCTTGTCGTTTATGCGATCTGTTTGGAGAGAAACCAATCGGTGTATGCAATACGCTTTACGGATTGCTGCGGATACCCGAAAAACGTTAGCCTTTTCCCGTTTCATGTATATGAAATGCTACTGTATCCGAAGTTCCAAGCCTACCTTTGACCGATATCCGATGTTAATGAAACAAATCGCTCGCTTCAATTTTTCCTATTGGGTAGATAGACGCGCTTACATTTCATCCAATTTCGTTTACGATGGGATTTTTGTTTTGAATAGAAAAGTTCGGAGAGGCGTAGGTTGGTGATAAGGAGAAGTTCATCGAATAAATGAACGGCCAAGAACTATTTTCCAAACAGCGCTTTCATGCAAGTGATAAAGGGGAATATGCAGATCCGTCATTGAAAAGAAACAACATGAAATAGATTAATTGGATATTTCAGGAACCTCAAATCAATGTACCATGCCATCGATGTCGGACGAATATGGATGATGTGGTGGATTGCTTGATTCAATTGAGTTGAAGAAAAATAAGAGGCTGTGTTCAGTTGAGATGTGGATAGCAATGTGGGGTACAGCACTACGAGACTACCTAGCCTTTATCTCACTTTCAAACCCTCTTCGTCGATAAAACGTTTTTAATTAGGATTTTGAATTATATATTGATCTTTTTGGTGTTGTGGCTTACTAATGACGGTGAACCTCCGGGAGTTCCTACCTCGAAAACAAAGCATCAAGCCTATTTATATTATGTAATCACCGTGTGGTCTGAGTTTGTGAGCCACAACGCCACATCTCAATCTCCGAATACCTCCAGCTACCTAGGTAGGTACCCAACCTCGGGACCCTTAAAATTTCCATTGGAAGAGTCTGGCCATGGAAAATCTCCCAGCTTCTCACCGTACACTGTTCTTTCGATATTAAAAAGTCATCCAAAAATACCAAAATCAATATTTCATTTCATCGAATCTCCGTTCGTACACCCAAAACCAATCAAAACCTCTGAATAACCTTAAATGCACAATTAAACGAAGAGCAAATGCGGTTAGTCCTCGAATCCTTTTTGGAAGCTGACTCTAGGATTATAAGAAGCCCTGGTAATCCTACGCCTAATTGTTTGGTTTATAGTGCTACGACTCAAGTATGATGTAAGAAATCTGAGTGGAAAGAGGTAAAGGGGGCATACACGTGGGTTGGGGTAGGTTTTGTACTCGATGAGACAAGGGAGGTTTGCATGAATACTAGTAGTGGTGGAGAGCCGGACTCCGTTGAGCCGATGAGCCGTATCGTAAGTCTTACATATGATCTTATATGAGGTATATAACATGCGGAAGTCATAACGATGATGAAGTTTCAGGATGTACCACTATTATCATGTTTACGTTCAAGAAGAAGGCAAAGCACCAGATACATCAGATTGAGGAAAGGGGTTTTATCAAGTTTAACCTAACTTTCTCCATCTGAGTTCTACTCAATGTTCTTCTTCCACGCAATACCTCCCCTGAGAAAAAGTGTCACAAAGGTCGTACTCGATTTCTGTTTTTTCAAAAATGCTTTTGTTCAAAAGAAAGTAAGATGCGTAGAACTAGAGATATATCCTTGGTGGTGCTTAATCATGTATGATCACGCATATACTTGAATCGACCGCAGAGGAGGAAAACTTGTAGTACCTAGGTAAATGGAGATGTTGATTCTGAAGACCAAAAAGAAAAGGTGAAAAGCTTGGAATTGAAAGAGTGATGTTGAACATTCAGATTTGAAGGATATATTGAGCCGATTTATAATCAAGGTGACCCCCATCCGTTGGTGATTTTCTAGAACTCGTGTTAGCTTGGTACAAAATTTATGTTCGAGAGCCCATGTACTTTTTATTCCGTATAAAACCTGGGATCACATCGACTACAACCCTACTTTCAATCCTTTGACAAAGGATGACTGACTACTTTGCGCATTGTATGTTCGCAGACGCTTGACAGTCAACCCATCGATCCCCACTTCGAGAATTGTTCGCTTGCTGTTGGATTTACAGGGAGATTCTTGAAAGCATTAAACGAAATCTCCTCTGGTGCGTGTCGAGGTGTGGGAGCAATGGCTTCACCATTGACTGTATAGTTTGAAGTGGTGTTTCCGTGAATGATAGTAATATTATATTTTTTGAAAGCAGCTGGTATTGTCAAAGTAATTTGTGGCTCTGTAAATTGATTAGCTTCAATCTAGTCCCGGTCTCGTATTGCGAAGTCGGAGAGCAATGTAGGATCTTACCTTTGGAGGAACCAGTAGACATATCTAAGCTCATAATGATGTTCTCCGACGGAGGAGCTGTTGAGGCTACATTTAATACGTTTTCACCTAGGAAAGAAATGTCAGTATTTCCTTGAACTCGTATACACTATATATTGACTAAAGATGTGGTTGGATATACCTCTGGATCTTGTGTTTTGGTCTTGGCATTGCATCTTGCTGCGAGGTGCACCTTCCAGAATTGAATCTAGGTCTCCTATCTCGGAGTCCGAGACCAAGACCTCTGTAACGTAAGACTTTAGAGTATTTCTTTTTCGTACTCTTGGGATTTTCATTTCAGCATGTCTTTTACCTTGAAGATAGATGTTAGTACTAAAATTGATGTGGATACAAAATTGTAAGTATGGTTAAGCATGCATACCTTTGCGCTTTCTAGAATGCGAACGGTTATTCGGAGTAAGAAGTGCATTCCCAGTTTCTGCACATTCCCCTGGCATATTAGTTATACAATATTCCTTATCCAAGAAAGTTGGTGAGTCTAGTTGATTGATTGATTTAATTAACGTCCTTTTCTCAGTCCAAGACTATTTAGGACGGCTAGGCTTTAAGAACCTAACAACTGCTAGTGGATATCTACAGTAGATATATTCAATTTGGGGGAGTAAAAACGAATGCTGGGGTGCTATGCCCGATCTCTATTCGGAGTGCAAATAGAGATTAAATAGTCTTCATCCTCTGAGACACTTCCTTCCTCACTCTTCCCCTACCCCTAATCCAATTAAAGCATCCCAATATCCAATTTCTCTTTTTAAAATCCTAAATCCAATTTGCTATCCCTCCCTTTCTATAAAAGGCAAGAGTTATCCCCTCCCGAGTTGCCTCCAATATAGCAAAGGGTCCTCTTGCTAGTGAGGTAGCAGAAGAAGGCACCACTCTTCTCTGTCTTTATCTCTTTTAAACTAGCCCCTTGTATATCTTCATAAGCTTGATATCCTCCAGCTCTTATTAGATGTGTATAGTCGAAACTGTTGAAAATAGTGGGGCAGGGCCGAATCCTAAGCCCTATTGCCCACACACAAATCAATTCGGAAAATTCGAAAATTCGAAAATTAAAAGAAAAACGTTGTATTGTATCGATGCCCAGAGCATGGTATTAATTTGAAGGCGATGGCATTCTCTGTATTGTGTCGTCGTAGTATTCGAGTGGCTGAAAGCCAAAGGGTATAAAAAAGGGTTGTAGTACGAGTAGAGCGGCGGCAAGCTCTATATCGAAAAGACTCTTCTAAAAGAAGAGACCTACTGCGTATCATATTTCTGTACTTGAAATAGTAATCGATGGTAGATGTTGAATCTAACCGGGGCTTCCGTAACCTTCGTATCCGCGTCTAAAGCTGGTATTCAACTCTTCGTAGGTATTGCTGTCGTAAAATCGTAATATAATCCTTCGCTATATCTCTGAACCACTCTCCTTCCAATTCTTCCAATTCCATCTGCGACTCAATCTTAGCTCTGCAGACTCTCAAGAGAGAGCTGGAGGTTCGTAGGATGCACCGCGTACAGGTGTTGAGTCTTCGCATCCCTAGTGAGTCTAGTTTTTCCTGCTTGAAAACGGGGGATAACGGATTCTCTGGATCTCCCGGTCCTGGCAATTCGGTGCGAGCGCAAGGGTCGGAGAAATGCATATCGACGGCGTGCGAATTGAATTTTCTGATAGAAGTGATAAGAAATCTTTAACAGATTGCGGAGGCTTTCTAGACAGAAGGGAAATCTTGAAATAAGGAAGTTGAAAGACCTCGACTCTTATTCAAAGTTTAAACGAATTCTCTTAGAGTAAGATGCAAGACGTCGATCTATCAAGATTTGAAAGGTACTTGTCGAAGAAGAGTTGTAATAATTGACCAATTCTAGGAGGTTCAAAAGATTCCAAGGTAAAGGAGGTTGCAATGATACCGTCGCGGGAAAGTTGAAAAGCACGCTAGTGAAATTTCTTTCGTTTACCTTCCTTATATACTTTATTCACTTTCATGATCAGGGTCTATTAGCTACCTAATAATTATCGAAGGTGAAAATATTTGCATGAAGACCAAGTACCGATGGACCAGAAATTGCAAGTTGTCGTTTTTTGTGTCTGATGCCTGAGATGAGAGAAGTGAGCCGATCCTAAGACGAGAAATATGCATGGGAGTTTGACATGTCTGGAATTTAAACGAAGAGATTGTTCGGAGCGTTTGAAGTATTGGTATATGCCCATACAACAAAAAGAGACTGAAAACGAGCATATATCATAAGAAAGGAGCAGTTGGCACAGAGCTTGTATCTTAGAAATTCTTTCTCGTTCTATTCGGCCTATAACAAATCAGAGAGTGAGACAAGAGAAATATTGAATGATTACCTCACCAGCTTCGGATTTTTGAAACAGATCCAGAGATCCAGAGATGAATCTGTCTTTCTATTGTTCTCATTCGCTACAAGTAAGTCAAACAGACCGAAGAGGATAGAAAAATGAATGCGATAGCGATTATTCAAGTTTCGTAAGTGTATCAATGATATCAGTTGACTGTCGATTGAAGATAACCAATGCTCGAAAATGAAATCCTTTTCTATCTTTCTTGGTATTTGCCCACAGCAGCATGAGGATTCCTGTTGGCGTCGATACTGTTTTCAAGTTGCTTTGATGCAAACTATAGAATCACTAAGTGATGCACAATACTCTTTCCATGACCTGAAAAGAGGATTGTTGATTTATTTTTGCTCTTTCTATCATACATCGCAATCGCTCTCGTGATGCACAGAGCTTAGGTCGGGAAGGTCGAATGTCGATTATCGGTCCTTGACTCATAAAGCTGCAAACCCCCTGACGACTTACCTATCATTGTACGCTGGAATTGAACCATTTAATCACTCTGGTTCTGGGTTGGACATCCTGAGATTGGCTCCAAAGCTAGCGTTGAATTCCTAGATTCGAGTTAACAAGAATGGCAGAAGTATCAAATTTAGTAGCGAGAATGGCGCGATAGAAACCAAGTTAAGAAAGTGGAGATCTTCAAAGGAGGCGTAAAGGATCAAGGATATATAATAAAGTGAAGTCACTCTCATAATTGGTCATGTGTAACTGAAGGGAGCTTAACATACCCTAAAGGAAAGATGCTAAAGTGTGCAAATTTTAGTCTAGAAAATTTCATCACTTGCCCCTTATGACCGGGACGGAAGGGCGATCTGCTTCATTTTTTTTCTTTGGATTGTGCCCTAAAATGTGTGCTTCGACAACGAACATATATCATTCCAAGCCCACGTGTCTCTGGTAAAAGTTCATGCCATACTCCATATCCTGTTTCATGACTGGCAAAGACTCGAAAGCAATATCTCGATTTTCCATACACGTAATCGGCCAGATTCCGCGGATTTACGAGAATGTATTCCTATCATAAACATATGATTACCCAATGGCCTACAAAGACGTGTACATCCCTCCAAGTACAGTCTCTGACGGGTTCAACATAATGACACCTAGACCAAGTCTCTATATCATCTGGTATAAAAATCGAGATAGTACATAACAGTCTAGAGACTCAGTGCAAGGTGAACTGCGTTATATATATATAATATGTCATTTTATCTCGCTATCGAATCTAGATTTATACATTCAGAAATTCTACGAGATATGTCATTCCAGGCTATTAAGAATGACAGCCTAAATCTAAGTTCCGTATCGAGATGCATAACGCAAAGACAAAAGGTTGGCGGAGAACATGCCCTTAGAATTATATTGATTTGAAAGCTTCAAAATGAAGGGTCTCATGATATCTTGAAGTCAATTTCCAGTTAAGAATTCATGGCAGTTGATGTGGAGTGAAGGGTGATATCAAATGTAGTTTTGGCAAGAGCGGCGGAGAGGTAAGTTGAGATCAAAGGTCAGGTCGCCGGAGAAGTGGAAATTCTCATTGAAAGCGTTAAAGAAGACGTTGGATATGTGCTTATGATTGTGAAATCTCAGCTGGAATGAAACAGATTAAAGTAAATTCAGACATAACACAGGGAAGAAAATAAATGCTAATTCGGACTGCAATGTCTACATATATTTCACCGCCGCAAATTAGATGTTTAAATAATCGATATAAATTTGCCAATTATCCAATTGTTATTTGATTCATCTGCTAGACTGGTCCGGATAACGATGAAGCGGATACAGTGTCGCGCAGAAGAGTATATTCGGTACTGGACATGACTATATCGCTAGTAGATGAATATAAAAATGATAAATACGAAGTGTACACAGAATGTATAATTGAGTTCATCTAGTAAATGGATTCACAACTCAAAAAGCACCTAAGCTAACTACCTAGTAGATACGCACAAGACATGACTAAGTAGAACGATGTCGATGATTACTACAACCTTGGAAGGAAGAATGGAACCTTAACCGGCACTACCGTTTTCGGTTCGGGAGCTACCTAGGTAGTTCCATTTTCAATCGTACAGCACGTGACTTGAAAATACCCAATAGGGAAATTCCTTTCAACAATAGAAATGGGATGAATCAGGATGCAGGAGAAAGCTTGCTGAGCTTGATGAAAACCGCGAAAGTACAGCAGAAACTGTTGAAATATGACGAATAACGAACACGTGCGACTTTCCATGCACAACCAGCTGGAATTGTGGCCTTTTTCACAGAAGGAAACATGACACGATACATACCTAGGTATATCAGATCTCAACACTTTCTTCCAACATACCAATCCTCCTCCATGTTATTTCATGCATACTTTGGAAGTTCGACGGTGAACTGCGAATTTGCGCAGTAGGCGTGTTCATGTTGACAACAACGTCTCGTTGTTGGCCTTGCCCAGAATGTTCTAGAGTACCTAGTAGGCATGAATGTGTTGGTTCAAATGCCCGTCTTCATGCTGGACGTGTACGGTCCCATGCTATTGGAGGAGATTTGAGTATGAATCGCGATTCATATACAAGGAGGTGATGCAGGTCTATGATCGGGTTGAGGATATAACTTTGCTCCTGGGGATGATAACGATATTATATAAATAGTAAAATTCAGACAAGATAGATATGGCTGGTGGTGATCGTTTGAAAATGATCCATTCATCCATCAATGATTGATCAATCATTTCATTGCCCCAGGTTTTCTTTGGTGGTGGGTGAGTGATGTGGTTCTGATGTGGTTCACCGTTCACCATTGTGGTCGAGTGCTTACTAATGTCATGGATTATCGGTCTTCAATCGAATCTTCCACCGAAGAAATCGAAAAGCGCAAGGTAACCTTAACCTATCTTGGATTTCAGCCTCTGATAAACTTTAATGCTTAATCCTACACAAGTAAAGAGCTATCAACCACATCATACCTTCTTCTAATCTCAACACATACAATCCCGGTGTGCAGGTTTCGCCTTTTTACAATTCCCTCTACATCAGAACATAGAAGTAGATCCCCGTCGCTATCGCACATAACTTTCCATTGAGCGCGGGCGCTGCATCATACCCCGTTTGGACGCCACTGCATGATCTGTCACGAATTCTTTCCCTTGACTACTTTCCTAAGATCGCCCATCAACCCGTCAAACCTCAGCCGATACGTTTAATAGCTCTTCGAAATGGGTTCCCGCCAACGCAGAGATTTGGTTGCAAGACGAAGGCGGGTTGAGGACGAAGGCGATGATGAAGGAGCTCAAGATATTGCTGAACTTGATGATGACTCTTTGTCAGAAGGCTCGATAATTAGTGAGGACGAAGATATTCACGAGGGCGACGAACCTATCGATGGCGGCATTGCAAATAATGAGACGTCCGAGTCGAACAAGATGAACGGGAATGGATCTAAGCTGAATGGCGGACAAACAAAAGCTAGCAATGGTACTACTGAAGCTTCAAAGTTCATAAATGGTGCCAATGATATGGAAATGATGGTTAACGGACCCAAAAGCTCTGAACCGGTACAAACAGTACAATTTGAAGACTTTCGAGAAGACGAGACCAAAGACACCCCTTCACCGGTTATCGTCACATCTACTGCTCAAATGGATCGACAACAAGAACAGCCTCATGAAAGACGGAGGAGAGAACATGAAGAATACAAGAAAAAGAGAGATGCGGATCCAGCGTTTGTGCCAAATAGAGGAGCATTCTTTATGCACGACCATCGTCATGCTGGTCCTGCGGCGAATGGTTTTAGGCCATTTGGCAGGGGCAGAGGTGGTCGGGGTCGGCCCGGTATTGGAGGGCCATATGCACCTATCAAGTATATCATCATCATCTCTTTCGTGCTTTTGCAATTTGCTAACATTATATAGTCACATTTCACAACCTCTGGAACCCACCGATGTTCAATGGGCACACGACATGCACGAAGTAATAACTGAACCCGTACCAATATCTACAAATGGAGCTTCGAATGGATCCCAAAGATCAGCTCCAGCTCCAAAATCCGCACCTCTCAATCGATCACTTTCCACTACGAAGCACATTGGAAATGTACAAATCCGTGTGTTCTTTGGAGATATGGAAAACCCTGTATTATTTCCTGGAATTCCAGTGAAGCAATATACGCGTCTACCTGATCATCGACCACCACTTCGTCGAGATAAACCTGTTCGAATATCCTTACCTGACCATCCACCACGTTACATATTTCCTGCTGTCGATAGATCATTCATATTCATCCCAAGAGCTATGCGACCTAATCAACAAGGGTTTGGTGGACGTGGCAGAGGCAGAGCTGGTCTTGGATCCGTCGGTGGTTATTCGAGACGTACAAGCGTTTTTGGTGGTAGCGTTTACGGAAGTACTTACACTCCAAGCGTTGCCATGAGTCGTCGTTCGTCCCTTGCACGAGAGGTCAATCGAGAAAACCTTATTTCACCCAGTGGATCAACAATGTCTAGGCCACAAATGTCGATGGATTCATCAAGGCCTGTGGTAAAATTACCGCCATCAAGCCAAGCTGCACAACCTCAACAATTTCAGGCACCTGAGTCTGGAGTAGCTAATGGATCTTCACAAGTCTCTTCTCTCGACAATGTTCCACAACCTCAAACCTATCCTCTCCCCCAGAAGCCAACCCTTCGGGAAAACCGTCCAAATACAATTCCAATGCATCAACCTCGACCTCAGAAGACCGTCTCTGTGGCCGACATTGAATCACCCGCATCCATGTCATTCAATCCTCCCCAGCAAAGCCAACAGCCATTTCATCAACAAGTTCCCATTCAAATCAATGGAAACAGTTATTCGCATGATAACGTTCAACATTCCCGTCAACCATCCTATCCAAGTCAAGCTTCAACTGGTACACCATTATCACAAATTCCAGAAAGAGCTATCCACGCACCAGCTTTCCAACCTAACCCCTATCAACAACCAGCCTCCAACTACTACCCACAAACTTACCCCGTTTTGCAGCCCCCACAAGGATATTACTACCCTCAAACCTTTAATGCACCCATGGCCTCAACAGTTGGTACGACTCCTTTTGTACCCGCACAACAGCAGCCACATCAAACATATAATCCACCTGCACCTCAGTCCGCTGAAGCTTCGACTTCACAAGCACCTCAAAATTTGGTTGCTCAAGAAGTCAATGGAATGGTGTATTATTATGATGCTGCGCAAATTCCGGCCGTTCCAAGTTTTCCAGCCGGCTATCAACAACCTCAACAATATCCTATGCAACAAGTAGGAGGTGTAGTAGGAATGGGTGGTATGATGACACCAAGCCCGGATGGTTTCTACTATCCGCAGCAACAAGGTGTGGTGTATTACACACAATAATGACTGCTATAACTACTCCCGTCAAAGCCTGCTTTCACGATTTGCAAGTCACACCTTTTTAGTCTCTCTTAATGCCTTCAGCTATTTTATTCGTATTTTCTGAAGCGTTTGCTTTTTATCGTCTCTTGTGGTTATGAATGCGAAAAAAAAAAGATATATCATTGTTCATTCTTCAGAAGCAACGGCTTGATTTCTCATATCATGTTTTTGTATTAGGGATGGCAATTCAATTCTTTTGATCTGGTTGGCATGGTTTTTTTGGTTGCAAGTTAGAGCTTCTGCTATGCTTTTCGGGTCTACCCTCTTGCATTTCGATCTTTTCGATCATTCGGTCTCTGATTCAAATTTCTCGTCTTGGTACGGTGTATTTTCTCAATGATAATGGCCCCTGATGTTTCGATTGGAACAACGAACGAATGGATATCTCTTTCGGGTGGACGTACGGTTGTGGGATGGCCTTCTGCATTGGATCGAAACTTATGTTTGCTGTTAGCGAGCGGGTGGAGTCATGGATAGGTTGCGATAGCAATAGTAGGAGCGGGAGTCGTCAAGTTATGAAGTAGTGGTAGTAGTATTACATAGCAAGAATTATTGTGAGTGGATGAACATGTTCGCGGATTGAACGAGGAATGGATATGTTGTCATGTCCACTTACGATACATCAATTGAATTACCCTTCTGATGATTACCTACAGTCTCTTGTGTTTTGCAATCTTTATGGTGCTCGCCTAGTAGTAAATTGACCCTGAGAAAAGAATCATCAATATCAAAAAGCTCCCTTCTGTACAACATGCCCGTGTCATAATATCTAAGACTGTAGGCTGTCGGTTGTTCAAGGAGTAAATGGATCGGATAATAATTATCGGCCTCCCTTTGGAAAGCTGACAATATTCAAAAATTACAATTACTACACCTGCGAGTAGAGGAAAATAATCAATGTGGCTGGGTTCATATCTTCAAAGATGGCTAGTCACTACCTAGCTAGAGCGGAGGGAGTGCAAGAGTTGCTCCTCATGTCTGTCTAGCCTTTGACGTTATCGACCAAAAGGAGGTTCAGAATTGTGACATACCTGATGGTGAGTTTGCTGGCTAGTTTATTGAGCCATTTGAATAATGTCTGATTTAGGATACATATAAATAATTACTGAATGGATGGCCATCTGGGTATTCATATCACAGTATATGGTTGATGATAGCGAGCTTCGCAGTCTTGTCAGATAGCTTCTTTAGGGCTTGCTACGACGTTTTTATACTGAATCGCATGGCTGCAAGTTTGACATATCATCACTTTAAATTTTCTAGGCATTGACGCCTATAGATAGTGCTAAAATTTCGTTCATTTGTTATTGTATCTTTATAACATACTTACAGCGAAAATCGTAAAGATATCACTATAAACAAGGATATTTCAATCCATTCATCTTCCCGCCCAGGATTCATAATTTCATTTGTCCAAATACCCATTTAACCTGTACTCTTAACTCCGCCTATTTTCCCATAGCAAAGAAAAAAATCTATTCCATGGCGACATCCTTGTCTCCTGCCGAATCTTCCAAAAGTCCATCAGAAACTGGATCCCAAGACCTCGCGTTTCTTGGCCACATTCTCTTGTACAGACTAACTCCCACGGCATCTTGAGGATTAATCTTACCATCAAATGTCGCCTTGAAGTATCCATGGGTACCCAAGCTCTCCTTGATGAAACCACTTCTTCCTCTCTTAGTCCATAATTGGAGTGCCTTGAACCATTCCACATCTTCGCGATTGAAGAACATGTAACGGATAGTAACGAGTCTCTTGTGAATTTTGTAAGGGTGACCAGTCAAAATGATACGCTTGGCAATAATTCGAGAAGTAGATGGTGGTAGTGATGTACCAGTACCGATCAAAAGGAGAGGCGCGGAAGATGGCGCGGATTCGGAAGGTTTTTGGAAGAACAAAGTTGGAATAGAACCCCACGATAGAGGTCCAATGAAGGAGGCGACGGTTGATTGACCGGGATGGAGGAAACGATCGAATTTGTGAACGTCATTGGGGGTGTTGCCACCTTGAGAGAAAAGTGGGTTGACAACGAAGCGGCGAGGTCCGCATTGCACAATCATCTCGCTCTTTGATTTGACAGGAGAAGGATAATCAGAGCTGAGGGTGAAATTGATGTTCAAGACAGCCTTCTTGTGTTCGTGGCGGAGAAGAGAGAATGCACTCAGAGGTTGAGAAGCATTATATGTTGATTGTAACGAACTAGGTACGTTACGAAGGTGAATATGAACTCTAGTTCCTGCAGCCACTCCACCGACTAATGCCTCACGAGTGACTTGGCTACGAGATGATTTGTAGTCGGGTACTTGGAGTAGGCGTCTCCAATCTTCTGGTTCATATGCCCTGTCTTCAGCTTCCTCCCAAGGACTGGTGCGCAGACTCTTTAGACCACGGAATTTTGCAAGACGCTCACGTGCTAAAACATTTGGGTGAAGCTCAATCTCATCTGGGAATTCCCGGTCTTCTTCTGCCTCGTCGGTTTTACGTCTTCTGAAAGCAGCTAGTTGCTCTGCCTCCGCTTCATCATCTGGATTGGGATCCAAAAACATCTCTGATTGTGGATATTCTGATGGAGCAGCTTCTGTAGGCTCTCTTGGTGCAAGACCTTCAGCTCCATCTTGAGGAAGAGCAGGTGTGTCCATTGTCATTTCTTCGTCATCAAAATCTTCCATATCGGAGCCTGAATCGGAGAAATGGTCTCCGAGAAACCATGCTGATTGATAGTTGGATGTACCTTTAGGAAGTCGTTTTGGAGCAGCAGGCAAATGCGTCTCATCGTCAGAGAAGTAGTGGTGATCATCAAGAAGTACACCTCGTTTCTCTGTTGGGGCAACGGACATGGCGGCATCCTCATCGTCCTCCATCATAATTCCTTCAGGCGCAAGTTCCGCGAGATCATCCTGATCTTCACCGGGTGTTTCAAGAATGGTCTCATCGTTAGAATCATCTGTAGCCATTTCATCGGTTCGCCTCTTTTTAGAAGCCAATGGCGCAGCTGTGATCTTCTCAATCTGGAAATCGCCCCAGTCTCCAACTGAGATTAATCTATCCGCCTTCAATCCCTTGCCTCTGACAAAACCAGTCAGTACGACATTCTCCTGCTCGTTTGTTGGCCATTGAACTTCATCAACAAGCATCCAACTTCTTTCTTCCCTCCATCGAATTCCTTTCGGGCCTAGTGTGCATAATGATCTCATCAAATTGGCGCATTCTTGTCTTGAGTCTAGGTTGTGTACTTTTTCTTGGTCAGGGTGGAAGTGCTGAACGTATGATTTGAGCGATGAAAGAATTCCAGGTCTTCGTTTGGGTGGCTCAATCTTGTCAAGTCCTTGTACAACAGTCAAAGTAGTCGACAATCCTTGGCTTTCCACACTGCGGATGATAAGTTCACCTAACTCATCGACTTCCTGTTCCGGCGACAAAATAAAGACTACAAAGTCCGCCACTCTACTGGCATTCATGCAGCTGAACAACTCTTTCTTGGTGATAATATATTGAACCTTCTGCTTGAATCTGTCGATATCGGCACGCACAATTCCTTCTTCGGGCACATCAATCTCAACGTCCAGACTTCCGGTCAAACTTCGAACTGCAGCTGCAGCATTTGCATCGTCGCATAGTGGTACGAGAGCTACAATTCTTGGTGCACCATCACGTCCTTGGAAAACATTCAAGTCCCTCTGATGTTCCTTATGTTTTGTATTCTGCTTTTGACGGGCTTGATTACGACGATCAAATTTCGACATAAGTTGTTGGTGAGGAGATTTTCGGTGACTCAAATCTTGGATCTTGCCTACGAAGATTAATATTTACCCATTCCATGGACGGAGCGAAGCTGACCTTTCGACAATTCCTTCAATGCACCTTTAGAAGCCTTTCTTGACTTAAAAGCTTTATGGGTCGTTTTTGTTGTACTCCGATGGGAGTGCTGTCCAGTAGGTGCTGGAGCCATATTGCCGTTGCCTCCGGCTTTAAATCTAAAAGGAATAGAAGCCAGATTGGAGAGTTCAGAAATCCAATTTTTCAAATTTTGACTCAACAAATGGAATTTATAAGAATTGGGATCGTAACGTGGGGCTTGAGATTTTTTTGTGCGATAAGTTAAAGTTCTTATCTTTTTTATCGCTTATCGTTGAGACTACTTTTTTTGCCAGCGGCCGCTGGTTCCGCCTTCAGAATATTTTCTACGGAACTCATAGTTCACAAATATTTGCGCTCTCTTGGAATAGGTAATCGAAAAACAGTCAATTTTACTTCGACCAAGAATCACTTGTCATATAAACATGGCAGACACAATGGAGTTGATGGATAATTCTCATTCGAATGGAGCGGTACCAATTAAACGAGCTAGAACGGAGCTGGCCACCACAGAATCAGAGTCGCAGTCGCAATTACGCCGTCGCAAGGAAGCCAATAGAGCATATGGAAGAGGAGGAAAGATTCCCATACATTCAATTAAAGATAAAAAGCTTAGGGGAAATCTTAAGAAGCTTGAGGCACGAAACAAAACTGCGATTCTTAGAGCAAAAGATGCCGAGATTTTACTTGAGAACGAGGATGGATTCTTAGAACCAGAAAACGAATTGGAACGAACATACAAGGTCCGACAGGATGAGATTAAACAGAGTGTACCTCTCGAGACTGCAAAGAAAGGATTCGAGCTTAAGTTGGATCAATTAGGACCATATGTGTGCGACTATACAAGAAATGGAAAGGACCTTATACTGGCTGGTAGGAAAGGCCATGTCGCGACAATGGACTGGAGGGAAGGAAAATTGGGATGTGAATTACAACTTGGAGAAACTGTCAGAGATGCAAAATGGCTACACAACAACCAGCTTTTTGCAGTTGCGCAAAAGAAATACGTTTACATATATGACGGAGCAGGAGTTGAATTGCACTGTTTGAAGAAGCATATTGAGGTTACGAATATGGAGTTCCTTCCTTACCACTACCTTTTGGCTACTGTGGTATGTAAAAGACACTCCTTTCAACTGCATGTATCTGACCTTTTTAGGGAAATGCTGGACATTTGAAATATCAAGATATCTCAACCGGTCAAGTGGTTATGGAAATGCCCACAAAATTGGGATCGCCTACCTCTCTAACTCAAAACCCTCGAAATGCCATCCTTCATATGGGTCATCAAAATGGAACAGTCACTTTATGGTCACCTAATTCTACAACACCACTAGTCAAATTATTGGCACATCGTGGTCCAGTACGATCATTGGCCGTAGACAGAGAGGGTAGATATATGGTTTCTACTGGACAAGACATGAAGATGTCCGTCTGGGATGTTCGAATGTTCAAAGAAGTCAATAGCTATTTTACACGACAGCCAGCATCTTCAGTTGCTATTTCTGACCGAGGATTAACAGCTGTCGGATGGGGCACCCAAGTTTCAATTTGGCGGGGTCTTTTCTCCAAAAACTCTCTAGAACAGGAGAAAATACAAAGTCCGTACATGACATGGGGTGGCGAAGGTAAACGAATTGAGCGTGTACGTTGGTGTCCATTTGAGGATGTGTTAGGAACGTCACACGATTCCGGGTTCTCGTCGATATTGGTTCCGGGTGCTGGAGAAGCCAACTTTGATGCTCTGGAGGTTAATCCATTCGAGACCACTAAGCAACGACAAGAGGCTGAGGTGAAGTCGTTGCTCAATAAGCTCCAACCAGAAATGATCTCATTGGACTCCAATTATATTGGTAATCTTGACCTGAGATCTGATGAGCAAAGAAAGGCCGAGAAAGATCTAGACAAGAAGCCAGAAGATCCAATGGCTAAAATTAAGAACAGGGGTAGAGGTAAGAACAGTAGTTTGAGAAAGTACCTGAGAAAGAAGAGTTCCAGAGGTATTATAGATGATCAGAGGGACAGAATTGAAGAATTGAGAAAGAGTCAGATGCAAAGGGAGAAGAATAGGCTAAAATCTACCGAGGAGGAACTTGGACCAGCACTCGGTCGCTTCGCGAAGAAAAGTGCTTAGATAATTTGGTGCATTATTGTTGATATCACACACTATGCAAGGCGCTTTAAGGCATAGTGTAGGGATTGGGAAAAGAACTTTGTGGCGCCTGGCGTTTGAAGGTATTATCGAGGCGTCGCATACTACTTGTAGTAGAGCGTGGAGTGGTTTAGCTGTTAAATAATGAGAATCTATGCGACCACTACAAGGGATCTTCGTCCATTCCAAATAAATATCTACGTTTAAATTCGATAGAATGAGATTCCTCATCTTCGTGCAGAGAGTATGCAGCGCTGATTACTTCAATTGCTCCAAACCCTCTGTGGGGTTTGGGCCACCTCTTTCTTTGCTGACCCTCTCGGCTCCACTGCCCTTCCATGCGCTCTCAATTAAACCAATAATATGCTCCATTCCGACTCCTCCTTTGACCTGAGCAAAGACAGTCGGGCCTCCTTCTCTCATCTTTCTCGCATCCCTATCCATAACATCCAAATCTGCACCCACGGCTTCGGCCAAATCTGTCTTGTTCACCACCAAAAGATCACTCTGAGTGATTCCTGGGCCTCCTTTTCTGGGGATCTTGTCACCTCCACTGACATCAATGACGTAGATGATGTAATCCGCCAGCTCTCTCGAGTAATTAGCGGCTAAGTTATCACCTCCTGATTCGATGAGTAATATGTCGGAAGTGAATTCACGGTGCAGATCTTCAAGAGCAGCAAGGTTGGCCGAGATATCTTCACGCACAGCTGCATGGGGACATCCACCGGTTTCGATGGCACGAATACGGGATGCAGGCAGGGCTTTGTGTTTGGTGAGGAACTCAGCGTCTTCTCGGGTAAAGATATCATTGGTAACGGCTGCGATTGAGTATTTTTCCCTGAGGGCATTGCAGAGTGCTAACATCAATGCTGTTTTGCCGGAACCTACAGGTCTGAACCATTGTTAGCAAATAAATCACTCACAGTGACTCCTCGAATGATGATAGCATAAATAAGGACGAGGGGATATTCAAACATGAAGCATTTGACAACAAAATTGTAACAATGTTCACGTGACTCAATTACCCCTCTAGGTCATGGAGGGGTTGTTTGGAGGAAAGGGCTTCACGAATGGAACTCGGGAACACGTACCCTCCAATACCAACAGTAAAAGCTCTCTCAGACCAATTTCTGCCCTCTATGATTGGCATTTCTCTCCCCATGTAACTACCAGGTCCATCGAGAATCTCATGAGTATGGCCATGGTCACCAGCTGGATGGTCGTGAGAGTGGGATGGACCTCCTTCGTGAGAGTGAGACATGATGAAGTTATGATATGGATAATTTATGGAAGAAAGTGTTAGAGAGATCACAAGCTGTTTGAAAAGTAACAGGTATGATATTACGATGTATTCCCAACAGATAAAAGGATTTTGTAATGATCTTCGAACTCAGCCTGTTGTAATTAATCTCCCAGTTGCAAAAAAGTTAAACCTAAATAGTCTCATGCAATGCGCCCCTCTTCATTGGCTTGTTAAGTTGTGTGATTATTTTTATACGATGAATGTACGGAGCAGGTAGACGACTACAATGTACAAACGAAGCACATGCTTTTGTTTATGGTATCTCCATGTTTGATAGGTCTTGATACTTGATCTAATCTACAATGAATGAGTGCTTCATGCGAAATGCGAATGAGAGACGGATGAAAAATGAATTGCTTCATTTCACGTGATTTCACAATGACTCAACGTCACACGCTGAAAAAAAATGCCCCGCCAATTTAGTGCTACAACAGTGATATAAAACCCCCACCATCCCACATCAATTAATTTCTGTTCCCTTAAGGTGCGTTCCGTCTCCACATCACTTAACACACAGAGTGCGGGAAAGGTTTCTAACAGCTCACAGGCATACAATTTCATTTCCAGAAAACGAATATTTACTTGTTGCTCCCATCAATTGATCCAACATTCCGACTTGGACGCGACTGTGAGGATTTCTATCACAGACTATCAACATAAACAATTTCAACGAATTTCAAGATGGCGACAGTTGTTCTTGGTGCTCAATGGGTACGTGCTTTCTGCGAAGATCTGCGGACATCAAATATTAACGTGCGAGTGTAGGGGGATGAAGGAAAGGTATGGCACATTGGACTGGGAGGATTCCATGTTTGGGAATTTAACTGAGGGTGGATTAGGGGAAACTTGTCGATGTCCTCTGTAGTGAGAAATTGAGATTGTGCTGTCGTGCACAGGTAAGTCTACCTCTTAAGTTCCTGGCGAATCCCCAAGAAATATGTGTCTAATATTCGATGAAATATAGGGCGGAAACAACGCAGGGTAAATTGACGCGATGAAAGAAACTGGGGAATCATCTAACTTACGATGACAGACACACAATTGTGGCCAATGGAGTGACATAGTGAGTCTCCATGAGAAGCGACTCTCAGAGTTCAAAATAATCTCGGACATTCGACTGATACAATATCGAACAGCGACTTTCACATTTTACCTAGTGGTCTCCTTAATCCCGACTGCCAGAATCTGGTAGGAAGTGGATGCGTAGTCCACATTCCTGGCCTCCTCAAAGAACTCGCCGCCATTGATGGCAAGATTCCAGTTCCAGCAGGCAAAAAGCCTCCTAGAGAGAGATTATTGATCAGTGACCGATGCCAGTAGGTTTTGCAATTTCCGGTATAACTGAGCATGTCTGACAACGAGCTACAGTGTCGTTCTCGATCTCCATCAGAAATTAGATGGACTCGAAGAAGCCGAACTCGGAGGTGGTAAAATAGGTACTACCGGAAAAGGTAATCTACTCTTCGGCTTATTTAGAGAACCCTCTTTTCTAACAAGCTAAAGGTATCGGTCCATGTTATTCAACAAAAATGGCCAGAAGCGGTGTCAGAGTTGCTGATATCTTCCGGGAGAGTTATTTCGAGGAGAAAGTTCGAAGCATGGCGGCTGGCGCCAAGAAAAGATTTGGGGACTTGTTGCAGTATGATGTCGAGGAGGAACTTGCTAGATTCAAGGTAAATTTGGCGATCCTGATCAAATGGTTTCGGTTTTGACATTTTTCCAGACCTACAGGGCTGAATTAGCAGACATGGTTATTGACCAACTTCCCCTACTTATCGACGCGCAGAAATCCGACGCACCTATGCTGATTGAGGGTGCAAATGCTATTATGTTGGACATTGATGCCGGTACATATCCATTCGTCACGAGCTCAAACACAGGTCTCGGTGGTATTTTCACCGGTCTCAGTGGTTTGAACCCAAGAAAGGTCAAGAACATCTACGGAGTGGTCAAAGCCTATACTACACGTGTGGGCGGTGGCCCATTCCCAACAGAAGATCTAGGAGAGGTCGGTACAACATTGCAAGAAGTTGGCAGAGAGTTTGGTGTGACGACTGGTCGTCGTAGAAGATGTGGATGGTTGGATCTAGTGGTTGTCAAATATTCGACGGCTATCAACAGCTACACCGCCATCAACCTCACAAAACTCGATATTCTTGATTCTTTCAAAGAAATCAAGGTTGCCGTCTCATATCGCGATCCCGCAACTGGCGAAACATTAGAGTCATTCCCTGCTGATCTCGAAAGACTGGAGACACTCGAACCACAGTATGTCACATTACCAGGTTGGAATCAACCTACCACTGGTTGCCGTAGCTACTATGATCTTCCATCTGCGTGTCGCAAATACTGCGAGTTCATTGAGAAAGAAGTTGGCGTTCCAATCAAATTCATTGGAGTTGGTGAGTGTTTTCTCCAATTATCTTTCAATCATATCGGATCGCTAACATAAAGATCACAGGTCCATCGAGAGATGATATGATCACAAAATAGATCACAGGTTTTGCTTTCTACCTTTTACGAGTACCCTTGTATGTTCCTAAAGATAAAAAATTAGATCTTGGTAGCAATAGATAGACACTGCAATTTAGTTTCATTTCAATTTATCCATTCATTGGGCCTTTGCGTGTCATAATCTACGTGCGAAGACCTCGGCGCGTACTTCCAGCAAAGTGCAATGGGGAATATGTTTCGGTCATTGTTACACATCTCCTACCCCTTTTCGGGACCTTCATTATCCTTGTAAAATGGGCACCTTCGTGAGCTTTCGCCGAATTTTCGTTCTGTTGTTCGCAGGGTTGCACTGCTTTCCTTGGTAACATCTGTCAGAATCGGATCAAACGAGTAAAAAGCTTTGCATCGCTAAGGCCATTCCACACGCCCCATCTGCTTTGCAAGCTTAGCGTGATTAGGAGATGAAGTCATTTTGCAGTTATGAGTTTCTTTGAGAAGAAATTAAACATGTTCATAACTTTTAAAGCTTTTCTAGCTTTGAGGGTATCAAACAGGCCCTGATACTCCTTGCTGCAATTAAAGGCTACAAGACGTCACTTAGTGAGTTTGATGGCAATCTAATTCTGGCCTCGCCACTTTGTGTGGATTGATAGGAAGAGCTCAACCATATAACATCTATGCTCTGATATAATTCGCATTCTCAGTGGCATTCCGGATGGCCTCTCACGGAAAGGTATCTAATTCCCCATCTCTAGGTGTGAGCCCCCAGAATTCCAAAAGATAGATCAAAAGCGGGAACGTACAATGCTGCAACAAAGGTCTTCACGCCTGTATCAGATGCATTTTACTTAGTTATACTAAGTATCATGAATAGTATAATTAAATACTCTCGGTTGCTATTCGCTAGGTTGACAAAAACAAAATTCTATGGCGAAGAGCGTGGTTTGAATCTACGTGAAACCTAGGGATCATTTATTATATCAACCGGGTCGGAGCTTCACTGAGTATACCATCTCAACACTATTGTGCTGTTCCTTTTTCTGCCTGAGAGGCGTCCCGGGGGAAGAAGGACATGTGTGACCGATCCTCTCCAGCTGCCACTTGTAATCCTGGACTGGATTCCACACTCTGATTGTTGTATCAGCATGTAAATAGAGAGAAGGCGATCACGTGGACCTTTTTCGATCAAAAATTTATGGTCTGGTTTATGAATCATCTTCAGGATTGAATTTCAAAGCTAGAGGTACATCGTTGGGTTCGACTTTTTTTTAATAGCCTTCTCTGATGTTGCTATATTTGTGTGAAGTGTTACCAAAAAGGTACTTTTCTCAAATCAACACATGCCATTTGCCAAGATAGCCGTTGCCATCAGTCAAATCTTAAATGATTCATTATATGACAAATTAGCCATGTCAATATTGATGGAACAAAATCTAGACAGAAGGGCAATTTAAAGATCTGTTTATCCTGCATGCGTCATATTCATTGGAACAAGAAGAAGTGAATTTGTCTTCAATAGACATTACAGGTGATGTTTACTTGACTCGGACTGATTTATTGAATGTCTTCCATGGCTCAAGAATTAATTGACATATTTGACAGCAATCTTGGCACCGTTCTTGCTTTCCACGGTCATAGTAACGCGTTCAAGGTATTCAAAAACCTCGTCCCTATTTTCGATGAGCTGGATTTCTTGCGCCAATCGAACCAGAAGATAGGACAGTTGGATCAAAACTTGGTTCTGAGCAGGACACATTCTGATGCCTCCCAAAAATGGCTCGTATTGCCATTTCGCCTCCCAGAGTGGGCGGTTGACATCTAGCCATCGATCTGGTCTAAAGATATCTGCATCTGCTCCCCATATGGTAGGATCTCTTTGCAATGTGTAAAGATCCAACTCGACCACAGTACCCTTGGGTACAAAGATTGGGAACCGACCATCTTCCCCACCTCCTTTCGGTAGCACTGTATCTTTCAAAGATATCTTACCTAATCTCGAGGCGGCTGGATGCAAGCGTAAGGACTCGTTGATTATGGCCTTGGTAACCTTCAATGATCGTAGAAATTCAAATGACAATGCTTGAGTTGCACTGATACTATCAACCTCCGCTTTGAGCTTTTTCCATTCTGCGGGGTGACGAGCAAGTTCGAATATGATATCCCCAAAAGCGATCGCAGCTGTATCTCGAGCGGGGAAGAAAACATTAATAATATGCATGCGGAGGTCATAGGGGTCTTGGGTTATCTTCGCCATCTCTTCGAGGAGAACATATCTTTTGGGCCCCGCTTCTTTGTCTGCGCTGCGTTGCTTCTCCAAGGCTAATGACACACGTTTATCGACGAATGCGTGGACATTGGTATAGGCTTCTTTCCACCAGGGATCGAAGTAAAGAGGCCACCGAATAGGTCGAAAGATCAGAAGTAACGCCAGCCCCAAAAGAGAGCGGTCAAATGATTTCATGAACACATCCGTTGCGACGGGTGTCTGTTCCGCGAGGCATTCTGTCGAGTCACCAAACAAGAACTCCGTCGATGTATCGAGGAACTATTCGATAGCTTGTCAGTAAGTTTCGTGCTTCACGTTGATTTACACCGGAGTGTCACTTAGACGACTTACCAATCGTTTGACTAGAGGAAGCATGTCAAAGGTTGAGCCATCTTTCGGGATATGTGTCAAAAATCGCGCAACGTGACTTTCAAAGTTTTCCAGATCCGCGATTTCAGCTCTGCTGAAGGTCGGTCGAACAAGTGATCTTGAATGCTTCCAAAATTCACCATCCTCTGGAATTGAACAATAGTTAGCGGCTTTAACAATCGCATTTCTTTGTATCTGGGCTCAACAATACCTGTGAAAATTCCACGACCGAGGAAGGGGATGCCGATGGTTCCCCTCATGGGACCCACGCCCCAATCGTTGAAGGACGACGTACAAATTGCTTGGATATTTTCTGGTTGAGATGTCTGAAGCTCTGTACCCAATGAATTCACCAAGAATGTCTGTCCATACTTTCGATGGAGTGCTCTGTACGCTTCTGAACGACGTCCTGCTGCGTCTGCCATTTGGATCTGGATAAATGTGTCAAGACCCAAGATTGGGTCCCAGCTTTGCACCCTGGGAATAGATTTACAGCCATGGACTCGAATTGCTTCTGCAGCTCTTCTGTTTCTGGTCCATGTGACAAGAATATAGTAGGATGTAAAGGTTGCAAGAAAAATAGTGCCAACAATAGTCAATGGCGACGACATTTTTTGGTGCCCAAAAACTTAGATGAAAGAAGAAGTTTGAAGAGGAACTACGATGGAAACCCTCTATGCTGCGTAGAACCCGGCGGAATTTGTCATGAGGCGGGGCTGTAGTTTGGTATGCACACACATTTGTGATCTTACTTACCACCCTGCTAGTCGTGCGGCAAAGCATTTGGAAATAGAACTAATATTATCAGGGGCGATACGTTACAACGGAAGGCTACCTGGTCTAGTTCTTCCGGACACTTCCATTAAAACAATGCTGCATGTCATCGTAGCACCAGCTGCGGGGAAGGAAAAGCAAGGCTCCACCCGAAACCTCCACCCCTGGCAAAGAAAGATGACTAGGTATTTACTCAAAATTCTTGCGTAGATCTTCGATACATGCAAGCAAATCCTCAGTACACAATTATGAACTCGCTTTCATGGCCAGCAGTTTCAAAACAAATTTTACAACTCAATTTTAATATAGAAACAGGTTTTGATAATATTTAATGAAAGATAATTAAGCTCAGTCTGTACGGCTATTGCAGCCTATCATGACCCCCATTCAATAGGGGCAAATTGGGGAACTTCACAGGGGTCTGGCAATATCACTTCTGCGGATATGCTAACAGTTGGTTAGTGAATCATCACAGTCTACGTACATGCGTCGCTCGTAATAGCTGTATGATTTACCCGTCTGGTTTCCTGTTCGACAAGCTGTAGCTGGGTGGCCCATCAAAACGTACTGGTAGATGGACCGTTTTAGGATGCTTGCTGTTTTATATGTGAGCAAATTAACAAGTTGGAGACCTGGACAGAGGCTGTTCTGCTGTCCCAAACTTAGCCAGTTGAATTTTTCTTTACAGTTTGTAAATACTATTACAATATTCGTGTGTATGTGGCAAATCTCACTTTATTCCTCAACTAGGGAGCGTCTTCTTGAAGAAGCTTCGCATCGTCGTTGTTTGAAACTGCCAACTTGCAGATAACTTTAGACCACGACATTCTATTACCAGAGTATCTCAAAACCACCTTGCAACATTAAATTATCACCGTCAACTATTAACCAACTTCAGTGCGCTTGCATAACGTCCTTCCGCGGCGAAGATTGCACCGCTCCCCTTTTCCACCTCGCCGCTGAGTAGAACCATAAAAAAACCGACACACGCGTATATCTTAGCCAATAACTTTGATCCTAATGGAGTTGGGCCAATAACACCTTCAAGGATCAGACCATTTCAATTCGTTGAAGAACGAAATCCAAAATTAAATTGTGCATAATTTTTCAAAAATCATACTCTACTTTTACTTCGAGGGACAGTGAGTGCATCATTGACAACCACACTTCTCCGGAAGCCGGCACCAATATGATGCTTTGGTTTAGATTATGGTGACAACGGGCTCGTGGATGACTATCAGGTGGTTAAAAATGGCATTTCCATCTGTTATTCTTGATTTCTGTGGCCCCATTGGTAGATGATAACGGCAATTACATGAGGACGACTTGTAACTTATTCCAGCTTGTAACAGGAGATTTATGCATCCAGGCGGCGGCTCAAGCTTGCTAAGAAGTTTCCTTCCTCCAATTCGGTCATACGATAACCCTCAGCTTTGAGGGCGCTGTCCAGTCCCTACCAAGACCAGGCAGTTATCCCCTTGGCCTTGAACTTTCTTCTACTCATACTTCTTTTCAATCCCTACTCCAGCAACTACTTGATTCTTAAGAAATTCGTCATGGCTGCCAATTCTGCTGAATATGAACCTTTCTTGGAGCAAGAGTCCAAAAGAACGAGCATGGACTCTCAAGGCTTTGTAAAACACCAAGCGGTACCTGAAAATAGGTGGATTGTGAAAGTCCTTGCAGTCATCGCTGTTTTCTCCACTTTCGGCAATGTCGCCTGGGTTATTCAGACCTTTCAAACATCATCTGCAAAGCCTTGGGACAATCTCAAATATGAAGGTCACGAACAAAGTCGTTACGCTGGCCTTGTTCGCGATATCCCAACACCCTTTAGAGACGACCTGATCTTCTCTCCTCAAAACCGTTCTTTGTCGGATGCTGCTTGGGAAAACTGGGTTGTCGATCCAGGAATTGTGGCATTGCCTCATGACTGGGTCAAGGGGAAGATGCTTTCACGAGCCCAGCACTGGCCCTGGGATGGGGATAAAGGTGTATATCTTTTGAATGGTTTCCACAATATTCACTGCTTGGTAAGGCACAAGGCTCAGACATCTAAAGAAGGGCCACACTAACCTGGGCGTTCAGCAATTGATTCGTAGATCACTCATCGATGCCGAAGGAAGAAAACCGGACGATGATCATTATTTGGCCGCCCCTCTTGAACACAATCTACACTGCATTGAAGCTCTTCGTCAGGATGCTATGTGCAACGCAGATGATACTCCACGCTATTCAGGCTACTCGGCAAAAGAAGCTTCGGGAGTCATGCAAACAAGAATGTGTCGAAGTTGGGATAAGCTTGAGGCCTGGGCTCGAGACCATACCGCTTGTTACCGCGATGTTGGTCGAAACGTCGAAGGCTTTCCCATGATTGAAAAGTTCAAGTTTTGTCCCCCGGGCTACGTATTTTCTGCGACAGGAAGTCCCATGGCTCCATGGGACACTGGATCAGGTCTTTCTATGCCTGGCGATGAGTAAATTTGGGGAATTTGGGGATTTGGTGCTGAGAGATTGGTGGAAATTTTTCATTCTAATTCGCTCGCTCAGCATATTGTACAGAATAACTGATGTGTCTGAATAAATCAAGCTAGCTATAGGTAGCCTAAAGCTTTTGAACCAACTGGTTAGTACCTACCTAGATAGTTTTCGTTTTATACCTAGGCAGAAATGTTTTGGTTGGTAGAAGAAAGGCGGTGAGAATCTTGAATACAATTTGTGCATAGACTACCTAGGTACTAGACTAGCATTGTCCCAACAACATGCACAGTGAAATCACACCTTCAAGTTTTCTAGTACAATAATAATTGTGCCTTCATCAAAGCAACTTATCATGAGATTTCTAAAGTACCACGATTTCCCGCAATTTGGATGCCAAATAGAAAAGCAACACATGTCACAATATTAGCGTCGATTGTCTTCCTGCTCTGTCAGACCCAAAGACCTTCGACATCTATATTGACACATGTCAGGGTTCAATTTACGAATCGCGCAATTATCATAGAGGAATCAGTCCAAAAGGCAAAATCAATCAAATTTGGCATTACTGCCCTCAACTACTACTAGGTCTCGACTAAATCCTTCCCAAATACTCCACTTGGGATGAGATTGTATCGACTATTGAAGGTGCAATTTCTTCATCCTTCTCGTTACATATAAATTCAAGCATCACGCTTGAAGAATCCTCCAAGGTAGTCCTCGGGGGCCTTCTCTGCATCACGCTTGAAGAATCCTCCTAGGTATTCTTTGGGTGCTTTTACGGCATCTTCTACCCATCAGTAACACTCTTGCTTCACGTGTATGGTTAAAGTTAATACATACCAGACGGGACGGGGGCTGCAAATACTACCATTGCAGATGCAAGGTAGAGCATGACTGAAGTCGCGAACTTCATATTGGTATTTGACTGAGGTTGAGATATTACTATCTGAAGTCTAACCACGCGTCAGATATGGATAAAGAATTGGACGAGTTTAATATTACCTAGGTGGGGTTGGTCTTAAAAAAGGAAGTAGAAGCAAACGGTGAATGTGTTTACTTCATTACGAAATAGTTCAGCGCCCATCGGACATTATATAATTTTTGAGCGTGTCTGCAGAGAATTTCTCAGCATGCAAGGCATAGTGCCTCATCAGTGGTATCCAACAGCAGAATCTGTCATGCGGATTAATTCTTTCAAGTTGATGTTTCTATCATTCTCTCGTAACGGCAAATCCACAAACTTCACAGGAAAAGTTTGGGCTCCAAATTTAGCTGGCATATGTTACAGATAGTAATCGGTTATTATTGGTCCCAACTGTTAGCAACGCAAACTGATGAAGAAATTCAATATTGGTGCCGTAATATCACAGGTGTTTACCTTTTTTGGGCTAGGTTGTAGATGATATGTACGCGTCTATGATCTTATTGAAAGAAGTTGGAAGAAGTATGGTTACTGTCGATCTATTCTGATCGCAACAACCCATCGTATTAGGCCTGAAGTCACGCAAATACATTCTCGCTGGTGCGAACCCCTTGTAGTTCAGGATATGTAACCCACCTCAGTAAACCAAACTGTCGGTACTATTTATGACAACACCTACTTAGAAAATCAAGCCACATTCACAGCGCTTCAAGTATTCAATTTTGCCTGGCTGAATATACTTGGACTACGGAACACAACAGTATGAAGCCGCCAGCCAATGATCATTTTTCTTTCGCCTGTAACCCTGTGAGTGTGCTACTACTTTTGTTAGGTCCACCCACACTCTGGAAACGTATTAGGAAGGTTCTCATGCAAATGTTTCACTACCATTAATTGCTCCTGGCAAATTCTTCACGAAAAGATCCACCTTCGGGTTGCCTTATTCTGCGATTTTGTGCCTTCCATACGCATATTATTGTTCATGGGGGGAAAAGTTGGGGTGGGGAGAACATTCCCTGTTATTACGTTGCAGGAAATAATTTCTTCAATCCTCAAGGTCTGCAATACGACCATCAAATTTACATCCCCGCCATCGATGGGTATCTGTCGGGATATCGATCATGTGATCTAAAGAGGGCACCGTATTGCACTAGCGTATACACTAGCGCTAGCACTTCTATTATATTAATTACTAGCTTCCTATAGATAATAATGATGAAGGACGAATACAACCATAATAGACTAAAGTACTTTACACTTATCAACCAAGTTGATACCAACAGTATCCCACCATCTGGAAGGATGCGTGAGAAGATGCAATCCTTCTTTCTAATGAAGATTTTCACATCCCAACATTATACATTGCTGTAATAAAATGCATTGCTCCGTACCTTTCATGTCATTAATTCTTTACTCTTATGTGCAATCATTTTTTATTGTGCCCATCAATATTTAGCCCCAAATCACCAACCATGTCAAGTACCTCGCCTCAAGGGGTGATCGCATGCAATACAATTCTCCCAGTCTTGGGTATTGCTGCGGTCGGTCTCAGGTTTTATGTGCGATCACAACAGAAGGTGGCCTTGAAAATCGATGATTGGCTGCAAATTCCAGCGCTGGTAAGTCTTGAGTCAAATCGCCATCACAGTGGTAGCTTTCTGACTTTACACAGGTTCTCTTCATCGGAATGGCTATCGCTGCATTATATGGTACGTAATCGACTTTGCTCCCAGAATTATCCCAATACAATAATCCTAATACCAACGAAGGAGTATCTCATCGCGCCTTTGGATACCCCACGCCGCAATTGCCCCCTAGCACACCCGCAGCATCTTTGCTTCTTTGTGAAAAGGTTAGAAAGCGCTTTTCAGTTTACCACACTTCGACTGATGAATATATGTTTAGTTGTGGTATAATATACAAATCTTACAGATCTGGGCTTTAGCTTCTATTAAAACAGCAGCGATATTCTTCTATCGTCGAATATTCGTCCCGTCAGCAAGAAACAGTGTTCTCAATTGGATATTGTTGGGATCCATTGGGATCATCATTGCTTGGGCCATCGGCTTCACAGCTTTTTCGGTTGCCGCATGTGGGTCTCATCTCACGGCAGCTTGGTCGGGATACATTGGCTTTGCAACATACTGTTTGAGGACAGAAAAATTTGAGCAAGCTTATGCTATCTCTGATTTTCTGCTCGACACTTTTGTCCTCGCGGTCCCTTTACCATCGGTAAGTTTTAGAGTCGTCTTAAATCTTATTTCTAATATAGATATGTAGATATGGTCTCTTCACATGAACATAATCCGCAAAATCAGCGTCACAGCCGTATTCATGTTTGCCTTAATGTGAGTTGTCATATATTTTGCTGTATATGAACCATTACTGATGTCGCTCATAGTGGTTACGGGGCTGCCATCGCTCGCCTGGTCAATTTCGTCCAAAGTGCCAATAACTCGTTAACGAATATGCTACCATGGTAGGGTGGCAGAATCCGTGGTTGACAAATAAATCATTTTGTTAATTGTATTAAAAATTTCAATAGTTAATATTATATTGAAAAAATGGGTTATACAGTATTAATGTGATTAATTTTTATATATATATATGATTAGAAATTTTTACTTTAAAAGGAATTAGAGAAATTTTCGAAATTTATTGATTTTTCAAAATTTATTGATTTTCGAAAGTTTTGGCCTAAGGCTATTTACAAATAAAAAAGTTTATTTGTATTGAATTCGATTAATAATCGATTTCAAAATATAATTATATATATTAGAATTGATTAAGATTCTTGTTTAAATAGTATATTCTGTACTGTATAGCACAGTGGTAAAGCTTTTGATTGAAGAATAAATCGAAAGTGAAGTGAGTGATTTGTGAATAGACCCCCCTTTAGACTTTCGGCTAATACTTTCTGTTCACTTATTCCACCCTTTAGCTTTTATGCTCGTTTCTTTCTTCTTTTAGTTTCTACGCTTACTCCCTTTTTTCTCTTAGCTCTTTTGCTTATTCCTCTCCTCTTCCTAGTTTTTATGCTTGCTCCCTTTCCGTCCACTTTTCCTAAAGTCCTTTAACTGAAAGGCCTTTATTTTCTTTATATTTATTAAATATCAATAATAAACAATTGTCATTTTGAACTGAAAAAATTTGTTGGTAACGAAATATATATTTCGTTAGGGACGAACAAAGTTTGAATTCAATAATGTACATATCAAATATTTATATGGAGATTTATACTGATATTTTATTCGTATATAGGTATTAACTCTGCCATCACAGGGCCAGACGTTCAATGTAAGTAAAATATAGCTTATTTGTGCTTATCTAATAACCCGATCTAACCATGGAGTACCCCAGGATACTCAGGCGGTATGGTTTTCCGCGCTTGAGACAGGGTTTTCCATCTTTGCCTTGAATCTACCTGCCATTTGGCCTCTACTATCAAAAGTTTCCATTGAGTCTATCGTGAATAGCGTACGCAGTATTGTATCTTTAAGCAGTAACAATGCTTCTAGAAATAGATCATACAATGAAATTGCTGGTGCAGGGAAGCAGGACCCTACAGCAGTGAGCACAGATAATATTGAGCTTGTTCCGCAAATCCCAGGCGCTGAATATAAAACTACAACGGAAGGGGACTGGCAGAGTTCTGCAAACTCTGGTTCCCGCCAACGTTTAGATCTTGAAGACGGCATACATGTACACAGAAGTGTGGATATTACCGCTGGAGCAAGAACTGAGGTATAGACAATTATCCAGTGAACTATCAAGGAGGTTGAATTGGACGCTTATCACCTCGAGTGAAAATCTCCCTCGGGATATCGAATCGGGCATGAATCTGGTAATTTCTGAAATAGGAGCTGACGGAGGATCAGGTAATGGTCGGGGGAATGAATTAATGGCTGAAGCTTTGTTTGGGTATGCTATGTGTAGACAATTTGTTGACTTTCTAATACAACTATGTTTTTCCTGAGCTCTGTCACTTCTTCTCCCTAGATTGAACCATCTCAAATACGATGTAGCTTTGTGACTAAAAGAAGATATCGGGCTATGTTGTAGAATTTCGTCGGAACGGCAAAATCGGGGCACACTACTATCAATAACCACAGTTCATCGACCCTGTCAGCATTAGATATAAATACCACCTAGACTTCGAGTCATTCCCACAAGCAGACTTCAAGATTTTGATCTACAACATGATTAAGGATAGTGGTTGGATGAATTTTAATTTTGCTAAATTGCAGGGTTCACATCAATATCACAACACATCAGAAATACATACATGCAACGGTTTCATCAACATGACCCACCTGCAGGCAAGAACGCATGGAATCAGCTCGAGTTTAAGGATTCAGTACTTGATTCGCGGCAGTTGAGGTGTTATCATTATTCCAAGACTCTTTAGTCCTCAATTGCATCAAATGGTTTGAGCGGAAGGCTACTTGCATGTAATGATATCTCTGTGCCTCAAAGAAGGTGTTTCTGCCACGGATATTGCCTTTCATTTTCGTATCCTCAAGTCTTTACTGGTCATAATCTTATGGAAAAATACTGTTATTGGGAGACTTTGTCCCCCAAACTTTGATGCCGAAAGGGCTGCGATCCCTCTTTTGCAATCCGAGACAGATTATAATTCTTCACTGCACAAAAATCACAGCTTTGCTTACAGTCTTTTCGGTTTCTTCTTCAAACAACGCTTCTTGTGTCAACCAATACCAATTACTGTCGTCTCGAGATTTCGAGTTATAATCAATCATCATCGTTAACATGACTGACATTCAAAAAGAAGAAAAGCAGCAAGAGGATTCGCAGGCTTCGACACGAACTGCGAGCGGTATATCTGTTAGTCTGATCTTTTTATGACTTTCATTATTCACCATCTTGCTGATCAATACAGTGGTATCTCGTGGTTGCGGCGACGCTGGCAAGCATTCTTCTATATTCTTTAGACAACACCATAGTTGCAAACATCATTCCAGTATGTCATACAACTACCTGACACCAGATCAGAACTTGAAACGCTGACTGTTTTCTTCGGCTATCGTCACTGATCTCAACAATACAACTGATATAGCCTGGCTCTCGGTAGGGTGAGTTGCATTCTGATTTGCTTCATGAACTAGTTTACAAACCGCAACTAACAGAGATTCGCAAACATTGTAGTTTCATGATAGGAGGACTCTGTGTCGCCCTTCCACTTGGAAAACTGTACGGGATTTTGAACATCAAATGGCTTTACATATTCTCCGTTATCCTATTTATGGGTGGTTCGGCTCTATGTGGAGGTGCTCCAAATATGCCCGCAATGATCGTGGGACGAGTACTCGCTGGAGCTGGCGGTAATGGTATGAATACCGGAGTCAACACTCTGTACTCGATGAACACAACAGAGAAACAGCGCCCGATGTATATGGCACTAGTGTAATTTACCATCGATCTTTATGAGCTATCCAGACTGACAGTATCATAGTGGCCTTACGTATGGTATAGGTATTGCTTTTCCCTGAAACAATCACTGAATAAAATGGAGCTCCTACTGCCAAGCAAGACCCAGGGCTAATGGCAATCTCAACTTAGGAACAGTCATTGGTCCTGTTATAGGCGGTGCGTTTGCAAGCTCCTCTGCTACTTGGCGTTGGGGATTCTACATCAATCTTGTGATTGGCGGCATCTTCGCTCCAGTGTATATTTTCCTGTTGCCATCATCAAAAGCAAACCCAGAGTCACTCCTGTCGCAGCGCCTCCATGGGTTCGACTACGTTGGAACAGTTCTTCAAGCAGAATCTCTTGCTTGCACGGTTATGGCCATAAATTTTGGCGGAATTCTATATGAATGGTCGTCTGGAAGAATAATAGCCATGTTCGTGATCGCAGGAGTTCTGGTCCTACTCTTTGCGGTCCAACAAAGCCACACGTTGCTCACTTCGGCAACAACTCGAATATTTCCAGTTCATTTCCTCTCGATTAAAGAACCCGTCTGTTGTTTTATTCTCATGGCTGCCTGCAGCAGTGGGACATTCCTGGTAATGTACTATACTCCGCTCTACTTTCAATTTGCCAAAGGAGTTTCATCGCTCCACTCCGGTGTAAATTTACTCCCCTTCATAGTTACTACTACGGTTGCGATTATGGCCAACGGAGCCATTTTGTCTAAAACCGGATACTATAAGCCATGGTATATCTGTGGAAGCGCCTTGGCTCTTGTCGGCGGTGCCCTCATGTGTAAGCTTAAGTCCAGGCACATTTCTCAGCCACCTTAACTCAATCATCTATATAGCTCATGTCAGTCACAACACAAAAAATGCGAGTATTTATGGCTTGGAGGTACTTCTTGGTCTAGGTTTTTGTAGTTGGCTGCAAACGTCCTACTCGGTCATCCAGTCAGTGTTGGATCCGAGCCAAGTTGTTCATGCGGTCACCTTTATTGTGTTCGGTAAGTGATCATTCAATAAACTCCAATTCTATGCAAGCGAATCAACTCACAATTGCTAAAGCTCAGTTGCTTGGCCTTGCCATATCATTGTCTATAGCCGGAGCTATTTTTGTAAACTCTTCCCTCCATGGACTCGAAAATGTACTACCCACTACACCAGTGAAAGAAATACAATTAGCCATCTCAGGGGCCAGTGGTACTTTCTTTGAGACGCTAAAACCAGCAGCACAAGAAGCCTGTTTGGAGGTTATAATCTCTTCATTGCGAAAAGTGTAAGTGAACCATCCTGCTACTTCTTCGTCCATCTAATACCATGACTTTCTAACTCTTGTTAGGTACATTCTAGTATACATCGCAGCAGCAATAGGTTTCGTGACTTCACTGTTCCTCTCCGTAAGTCAGGACTGGTTTCCATTGAATTCTATGAATGTATGCTGACCATTCATCTATCAGAATCGGAGAATGGCGATCCAAGTCTAGATGTGCAACTTCTTGTTTACAAGACGTTGGCATCCTATATTGATCACAGTTTGCTTTTGATTCCGGCTCGTTTTCGGGGTCGGTAATGCTGCCTGCCTCGGCGTTTTCTTGCCGGTCTACTACTCTTTGCCGTTCACTCTTCTCTTGACTTAGTTTTTATGGACCAGGGATTCTAGTCTATACTCGGTCGAGGTTTTCTACGCATACTATTTCTACTCTCGCGTCCTTGAGGAAATCCCTTTTTGGAGATATCTCCGGCGTGCCTGAATTAGTTGATAGTTTATATGCGGGGTAAATTTAGACTTGTACTACGTGAAAGTACCGGGTGAGATAGTAGAAGCATCGAGAACATGAAGTACTATTCGTTTTAATTCATTAGCCTTTCTTTTCTTCAGCTTCGATCCACATGTCTCGTTGTCCGGGATGTATGTATGAATGATATTCACCATTTTAACATTTCAAGCCATCTAGAACTCACTTTATTCCCATTTTATTTCTACTTGTAGTACAACATATCCCTTGCTTATCATTGTGTTATATGCCACAAGATAATACCGCGGCTTCAGAATATCCCTCCTCATCAGCCCCTCTCCTCATAGCAAGCCCATTCAATTCACCAGACAATATATGCGCCCAATTGAACGGTTCAGCTCCCCGATTGAAGATAGTTTAATCAGGATCAACCTATAAATCAACCCTATTCCTCTTTCCCCAGACTTTCTATGCAGTCAAGGATACCAAGATCTCGCTATTGTAAATGGGTAATTTCCGTGCGCTGTGCTGGCGAGAAGAAACCCGAGGTTACACATTTGTATTGACAGGTATAACTGATAGGTATATATGGACTTAGCTATCTCATCTCATCTTATTAGTACATTAGCCATTCACAATCTGACATCCATTCACTCTTGCATCTACCAATACCCCGCTCTCTTATTTCTACAACGAAGTTTTTCAACTCCCATGTCTTTTCTTCCCGAGCAATCAACACTCACGTAAAACCCAATTCTAACACACTGGATTGATCATCATGAGTAAATCATCCATTACCCCTCCATCTGGCAGTTTCGACGCCATGGAGTCCGAGAAAATCGAGCACATCGCAACACATGACAAAGTGCCCGGTCATAGCAACTACTACGAGAAAGACGGACTTCGAACATATGGCGACGATGAAGATCATTATCATGAACCTGAAGTACGTTATGTACCTCAGAGAATGTATACAATCGACTGACAGCGCGTAGATGTCGATGCGACGCTTCATGAGTCTAGTCGCCATGGCATTTTTGTGGACCGGATCACAAATTCCTGTGTATATTTTTGGTAAGTTCTATGGATGTTATCCAGAATATGTGAAAGAGCTGAGATTATGGATATAGGTGCCATTCCACCCTACATTTATTCTGATATTGGAGGCGTCGATCGGTGAGTACTTTGAACATCTAGATCCAAATACACGTATTATCCGTTCACAGGAAAGAAAGCCTAACGGTACATAGGTGGATATGGCTTGTCCTTGCAAACCTCCTTGCCTTAGCGGGAGTTTGCCCATTTGTTGGAAGTCTCTCTGATATCCTCGGTCGTCGTTATGTCGCACTTTTGGGTGCTCTTTTCATTGTTGTCGGTATGATCGTTTGCTCAACCGCTCACACTATGAATGTATTCATTGGTAAGTCCTAAAATTGCTTCAGGAGACGGTGCTACACTTAAGTTAACGCCGAGATTAAGGGGGGATGGCAATTGCTGGTATTGGAGCTGGCATCAATGAGTAAGTCTTTTAAACCATTTATCTCTGATATTCAACGGGCACTTGGAGAGCTTAGCTTACCATATTTAGACTCACTGCTTTAGCAGCCACAGCCGAATTAGCACCTACCTCGAAACGTGGAAAGTATGTGGCTATTCTTGTCTTCACCATCCTCCCATTCTGTCCATCTGTAATGTGGGCCCAGCTCATAGCTTCGCATGGCGGATGGCGTTGGTGCGGATTGCTATGCGGAGTATGGGCGTTCATTGGCTTCGCTCTTACTCTCGTTTTTTATTTCCCTCCTCCTCGAGTTAACTCGATTGGTTTATCTAATCGGGAAATTATACAACAGATTGACTTTGTGGGCGGTTTCTTGAGTGTAGCAGGAATGATTCTATTCATGGCTGGCATGCAATGGGGTGGCTATCAATACGACTGGAATTCAGCGCATGTTCTGGTACCTTTAATCTTGGGGGCCATCTTGCTGATTATTTTCTGTTGTTGGGAAATATATGGGACGAAATATCCTATGTTTCCATCTCGTTTGAAGCAAGCTCCGAGAATTCTAGCCCTGACACTTGTCATAACATTCATATCCGGTGCTAATTTTGTACGTACGAGCTTTTATTTCCTTCCGACACGCCTTTTGCAAATGATACTGACAAGTATTAGTTTAGTATCATCATGTTCTGGCCTACTCAGGCTTTTAACGTATATGGACATGATCCGATTGGCGTAGGGGTCAGAGGGATACCCGTTGGCTTCTCGATTTTAGCAGGAGCTTGTATTGTGTTGTGGTTGCTGAGTGTCCTTAGAGGAAGAAACAAGGAGTTGATGATTGTGAGCTCAGTGCTTATGACAGCTGGTATGTAATTCTCGAAGCTGGGTAAATCAGAGGCAAATTCCATTTTCATCTCGCTAATGCATATAATTTAGGATGTGGTGCACTTGCATGCGCAAACAGACACAACCTATCAACACTATGGGCTCTTCTTATAATCGCTGGATTAGGCATAGGTGGTATCGTCGTACCAGCTTCGATAATAACGACTATAATATGTCCCGATGACTTGATCGCAACCGTTTCTGCTCTCACCCTCTCGATCCGAGTAATTGGTGGTAGTATAGGTTATTGTATCTACTACAATGTCTTCGTAAGCAAGTTTGTTCCTGCTGCTACTTTCCATATCGGAGGTGTTATGGCTCGACAACTCAATATCATAAACAAAACTCTTATAGGAGAAGCTATCCACTACACATCCGCGTCTCTTCTCCCATTGCTCAAAACAATTCCAGGAATCGCAGGGAATGAAACCGCTTATCAGATGGTGGTGATTGCAGGGCAGGAAGCATATGCCGAAAGTTATGTTTATGTGTACTATGCTAGCACAGCATTTGGAGCTGTGAGCATTCTTGCGGCTTGTTTCCTTGGTGATATTAATGCATATATGGATGACCACGTAGCGGTTATCATGCATTAAAGTCTGAGGTCGAAATTGGCTTTTGGTGGATAGAGTTCGGCCTTTAGAAGTGCATGATTGAGATATAAATTTGACCCGTGATAAATACAATACAATCAGATTGCATTCAGAATAACATAAATACCCCATAATGATTTTGATTTCAGTCATTACAATCGTAGATATTCCAATTATGGTTTGAATGAGACCATCGCTACTTGACATCTTGGGGATATATAAAGTATATACTTTCAAATGAATGTTGGGGTTCGGGAGGGCCCCAATGAAATAGAAGACAATGCGAACATATCAGGGCGTGAATATTTTGGGATAGAATACGCGACCCTAGATTTGGAATTGCAAGTTCTGGCTCTTCCCTTGTTCCTCGCCACTTCGCAACAGCTTTTCCAAGATTTCCAAGTCAGCAAGGGCTTCTTGAGGAGATTGCCTAGAATTAGGCTTCCCATCCACGATACTCTGAGCCCAAGCAGCAACTTCCTGCTTCACACCACTACCCTCTTCTGTAAACTCAACCTCTGTAAAGTTCTTTTCGCTTTCTTCGCCCTTACGCACAATGACTTTACTTTTGATAACAGAAACGCTACCAAGCTCACAAGCGACTGTATATTCAGGACCAGAAAGAGTGGTGCCGAAGGAGACGCTAAATGTGCCTGATATTCCCGACTTCGTGAGCCATATTGAATTGATCGTATCAACAGGTGGTAAATGCTCCCGAAGAAGTGTACTGAATGCCACGACAGTTGTTGGCTTTGCGTCTTCACCCAAAAGTAATCTGCCGGCCGCCGTGAAATGAACGCCCCCATCGAGTAGGAAGCCACCTTGATAATCTGGCTTCTTACGCCACTCAGTCTCTGGTGAATCCGTTAGTTCTCACAATAGCATTGCTAAAATGGAAGATGCATACCAAAGTATTTCATTCCTGGCTTGACATTGCCACAAAATTGCATACGAAAGCCCAAGACTCTCCCCAACTTCTCTATTTCTTTCCTCGCATGGATAAACGAATCCAAGAATCGGAAATTCTCAGCTACGCCCCATGTAGCTCCACCCTTTACTTTATCACTGTTGTAATATTCTAGCAAGCGTTGTGCTTTCTCTAGGTCTCCTGCAATTGGCTTCTCTGACAATACATGCTTGCCTGCTGCGAGAGCTGCTTCAATATATTCGGGTTGAGCGAGAATTGGGAGGGCGATTATGACGGCGTGAACGTCCGTACGAAGAAGAAGATCGTAGTATGTATTTCCAACACCCGAATCATCGGAATAGAGAGGGACATCGACGTTCAATGATTGTGCGGAATTGAGAGAACGGGAGTAAATAGCTTTGAGGGACAAATGAGGGGTAGCTTGAATAGCTGGCTAGAGCGCGAGATTGGTTAGCTATACAGTAACCTTAAGACATTGACTGGACTGAGTAAGCTTATACCAGATGCTCAGTCTGAGCAAAAATGCCTGAACCAATAATAGCGACGCCGATGGACATTTTGTATGTATGTTTTGTATATACTCTAGAAATGCCAATATTTGAACGCTTTTTGTGTTGAAGGAGATATTTATCATTCACGTCATTGCGGAGGACTTTGTGCCAAGCAAGCAGGGAATGGCAAGTTGATGATAAAGCGTCAAGCAGAACATAATTTCAATGGATGACTTCATTCGCATTGCTTTCTGCCTGAATAGTGAAGAGTCAGAACCAGCAACTATCTGGGACGCCATATTGATACAACGGCTCGAGAACGATTATTAGTAGTAGCGAAGATAATTGGAGATGCAACAAAGTCAGCCTTTCACCAGATACCTAATAACCAGGGGTTTTTACAGGCTCTCCTGCCCCATAGTTCGATGATCACAACACCAATAATAACTTACCTTGATAACTATTGCTAGAGTCGAATAGATCGATAATCATCTTCTGATGTTCTACGAGTACATCAATTGAATTGTAATTTACTTGTAGAACGAGATTTGTTCTCCGAGGTAATTCTTTTATACTGCAAATCCTTCATTTCCCTAATGCTTCTAATCTCGTCTCAAATCATCAATCAAAATCAGTTGATACATAAATAGAGAATCATAAAACTCAAGATTTGGTATTGCAACTATCGACCTGGAATAGGTAGTCTGCGATGGCTAGAATATCAATCACATGTACTATTGACTCGGGAAGGCTTAGAACCCCCAGAATGATACTATCTCAGATTATTATAATCGAAGATACCTATCTAAGTAGATAAATATCAGGCTGTCAACCCAATCTGGAAATCGAGTACCTTTGAAGACGCAAAGGACCCTTGGTATTAACATTGATATTGGCCTAGCATGTCTAGATGCTACTTGTTACATCTACCACTCATCAATCAACCCTCCATTCATTCCGTCTGCAGTCAACCAAATTTCTCATCCGTCTAACTATCCATCCACTCACGACGATCCAAATATCCAT